ATGAAAAACAAAACGAAATAGGATCTGTGTTTTAATCAGACTGTTTTTTCATACTTCCAAATATCATCACATTGAATATTGTTTACATCATATTCCTGTAATCAGCTTGATAGGACAAGAAGCTCTGAAACCATTTTTAATTTGTATTCACACATAAACACAAAGGTTACAATGAAAAGACAATGTATCCAGAATCCAGATATTCATAGAAAACACACATTTTGAAAACATGTTTTCTGAAACATCCAAAGATTTACCCAAAATTTTGGATAACTCTATGAACCCTTAATATCCTTAAACGATCCCCATTTTAATTTATTATAAATAAGAGAGATAGTGAAGTCATATTCAAAGGGAATTGTTTGTTGTTATAAGTCTTAATTAATGTTATGTTTTGATTGTTAAATTGTCTTACTCATGGATGTGGAAGCGGATGTAAAATACAACTAACTCACACTCATTATTGATCATTGCTTTATAAAGATACCTGTACCTGTAAGAGTATTGAAACGTTGTATGTAATAAACCAAGAAGTAGTAAATCCATAAAGTTTTTATGAATATTATGAACCCTTCTCAAAGAGTGGTCCTACAGTGGTTTACAGAGACACATACTAAAATAGCGTACAGGACAATTTGCCCCAGACAAATCATCCCCGGGACTATTCGTACCCCGCCAATTTGCACATGATAATTTGTCTCCAGAAAATTCATCCCCTAGGACTATTCGACCCCGGATAACTCATCCCAGGGGACAATTCATTCCCTAGGTCTATTCATTCCCAGGTTGTTAAAAAAAATATGAAGGTCAATTGGAGGAAGAAATTAGTAGTTTCCCCTCTTCTTGTCTGAAGACAGTAATAATTTTCTGCTAATTGTGAGACCCTTCGGTGGAGGTGAGGTGTGTGTGCATTCTATTGATCCTCAATCCTTTAAATTTCAATTATAGATCAATTAAATCCATAGTGGGAAACCTTTTAATCATGATCCTTTTTATAGATCTGTAAGGTGTTTGGCAAAAGCTATCCACTAGTGGTTTGAGTCACAAAAATGTGATAAATCCCCAGAATGGAACAAATAAGCATGCAGATGCTATTTCTATCAATTATCATTTCAGGAACCGTTACGTTAAAGGTTAGGGGAAAAGCTTCATAATTTTTTTAAATAATGCAAGTAATTATGTCAACACATCCTTTCAATAAGTACATGTATAACACGACCCCAGATGTCAATGCTACCTGAACTGACGGTTTTGAAAACGTATAATGTATATTGGGTTAGTTTTTCAAGGTCCTTGAGGTTTTCGAGGACTTTTAACAGAAAATTAAGCAGTTTTATTCTGCAAATTATTATCATCGAGATTGGCCCTTCAAATTTACAGCCATCTTTATTATCTCATTGACAAGTTAACATCCATTTCTCATCATGACCAGTAGTAAAACTTGGTATGTTTTGTAAACTTGTAAATTGAACTAATTGTTACTGTAGACAAGCCTACGGCTACACATTTAAATTGGCTAATTTCTATTTACTGTCAATTGAGTAAATCTGGAATACTATGCAAGTGCACCAAACATTTTTAAATGACGTCTGGACAAATTTTGGTAAAGATACGAATCATACTATATAATTACAAGGTTAAATTCACCGGAATAACATACAATTACATGAGTCCATAGTTATAGTTGCCTAGACTAGAGCCATGACCGTACAAAAACCTGGTCTGGAAAACAAATGCAAAGACCGCAAGATGAAGAAGCTACGAAAAGAATAGAGAATAAGAAAGTCAAATGTAGGTTGGTTCTAATAATTATGCTAAAATGAGACTTGCATTGTTGATATAGTTGCGATAATGGGGAAATCTTGATTGACTAACTGGAAGTTTTGTTATGACTATGACTATATGAGGACAAATATTCGGAAGTCGAGACAAACTAAAAAGTGGAGAATTGGTAGCAAAAATAGGCTAATACTTACTTCTTAATCATTAAAATATGCATGATCGAATCTAGTGCGTCGGGGCTTGTGATGTATATTTAATGAAGCATAAATTAATTAATTTGAACTTGTTGTTTCAAGAAATAATATAAGTAAACATGTCTCAACGGCTACAAATCCGCCGCCATGGAATGCGCTTCCGGTGAAACTTGCACTGGATGATAACTGCTATAGGAACAGACAACTCTTCCTCGAATGTTTCGGGATCAGACTACAGCTATATGGTCTCCGTCGATTTCGACTCGCAGCTTATATCCTTTTCATATGAAATGAAATGAAATGAAATGGGGTTTAACGTCCTACTGTTCTGCTCCTAACCTGGGCTAATGAAGACGGGCATACGCCATACAGTGTGCTATGAGGGAAATTTTGCCCGGACAGCGGCACTACGGCCTACTCTTATATCGAATTCCAACTGCCAAGGGATCTTTTACGTGCACGCCAATGTGCACACGGGACCTCGGTTTTTCGTCCAATCCGAACGACTAGACAGCTTTCCTTGTCAGACCCTCCGTCCTGCATCACTGACAAGGGAGAACCACGCCGGAAAATCTGGATGAACTTTCTCGGCCAATGCAGGGATTCCTTTTCATACTCCGTCGATTCTGAACTGTTGATATAAAAAAGGGGCCAGATATTTGACAGTCATAAGAGAAACAAATGAAAGGGTTCACCTACTAGCTTTTTAGTAAATGAGACCGGGACAGCAACGCGTACTCAAAAAGGCCTACAGCCACAGGTATGTCTGTGCGTCTTTTAATTTAGCAGGAAAAGACTATAACCGATGACATTTTAACCACCACCTAACAATTACTAGAGGGTCTTAAACAGTTTTAAGTATGGAATAAGAGTATAACCTTTTTTTGTTTGAAATGAATCAAATAGGTGCGATACAGCTATGGGGAATAATTTTTTTTTTTACATAAATCTAGCTGTTTGATAAATAATAGTAAGTGCAGGGGGGCTGCACCACACATAATTTACATAAAAGAAAATATATGGACAAGACACAATACGCAGAAATCACAAACAAACGAACAATTCAAATAAAGTGAATGGATCCGGGGGCTAGCCGTAAGCGTCCACTGCGCTGTACAGCCCCGGACCTGTAGTGACACAGACTTAACTCAAATTTGAAAACCACCAGGAATATAACCCCACTTGTTTGTTGTTATAAGATTGTCGAAATCCAGATCTTCATATCTTAAAATAAAACAGTAGTGAATACAGTTGCTCCCCATACAGCAGTCTATGGAAATAATGTTCCGTTGATCGCCCAAATCACCATTCTGCAGATTTCTTTAAACCCAAATATACTCGAAAAATATCCTGATTAATACCACAGATAATGAAAATAGCCCGGTGACTACGCAATCTACGCAAAAAACTGATCTAGAAAAACTTGGACTCATAAATTCTCCTCTCGGGTGATGCTTGTCACAATCTGATTAAAACACAGATCCTATTTCGTTTCGTTTTTTATAGTTCAAAATTTCCTTTTACTTGTCTTTACTACACTAAGATCACACTGGTCAGCAGTGAATATTCACTAGGCCGCTAGAAGACTTTCGTAATTCTCTGTGAAACAGATTGCACTAGGATCGGGAAGAGTTGTTATATAACCCGCACAGGGGCGGATTGGGGCCGGGAACCAGCCCGGGCTCCCGTGTCGGAGCGGCCCCTTTTACTGACCGCGGAGCCCGGATGGGGGTTCCGGGGGCTCTCCCCCATGAAAATTTTGAAAAATGAACCCCAAATATGCGATTTGGTGGCATATCTGATTATAATCTCTGTCAAATAATATATCTCATAAATCGATTAATTTAGGCCAAAACCCCGACCTGCAAGTAATTAACAACCATCAATTTGTGAAATTATCATATCGTCATATTATTAATTAAAGTATTATCATTGTATCGTCAAGACCAGCTATCATCAAATTTTGCCGAGGCCTTAAAATTGAAATTTTTTTTGGAGTTACGAACCATCGGCAGACGTTTCTGGCGACAGTGTCGGGTGAATCCGATGAAATTTTCGGATGAAATTCGGAATCCCCATTGCAGGATTCCGAATTCCGGCCCACACCCAGCACATCCGGCCCAGAAAGTCTATTATACCAGCCCAATCCAGATTCCAGTGATGGCGTGGCGGCCCGTTAAAGCCACCGGCCACATACAACATGATCATCATCGCTCCATGGCCGGTCCAATAGCCCGCCCCCATATAATGTTCAGCAGAAAAGGGTTTTTTAGACGAATTGGACAAAATTATTTTTTTTCATTTTTTGTCCGACCGGCCCTTCGGGCTATCGCCCGATCGCCCGATGGCCCAATCCGCCCCTGAACCCGCATTCTGGATGATGTGAAGGACTAGCCAATGAAACGGGCTGTTACGGCAAGATTTTGGAGTGAGGGGCACGGAACTGTGTGTAAACCATGGCCACTAGAAAGTCAACGCTGATTGATTAATCATAGGGTCAAAAGCCGCTCGTATGACCCCTGACGCGACCTATCGCTACAACCGGTCAGATCTTCATGTAGTGTAGGCCATCGAAGGTATAAAAAAAAACCGAAATATAGATCTGTATTTTAATCAGATTGTGCTTGTCAAAAAACTACTGAAATCAATACAACTTTGTGACCGTATCAAAGAAAATCTGATTTTGATAATGGTCTATCTCTAGAATAATGGCTTGTAAATATCAGTATTGTATAAAGGGAATTCTATACGGGACTAATACTATTTTGCGTTTCATTTAGAAACCGTAGTTTGGATAAGTAATAGTGTGTGCATTTGAATTATTCAGACGAAGTTTCTTATTTTACCGAATTGGCAAATTTCCCAAATTAATGTTTACGACTTCGATTAAGACCCCAAAAGATCTGTCATTAACCAAGGTCTGACTGGTTATATCAAAATGAGGTTATTATTACGATGCAGTTATTTGTGGTAACTGACACGCCTATAAATAGCAACTGACCATGATGTCATAACGTTGTGCAAGAAAAACACTGTCGTAGGCAGATTATTTTATTGGTAGATATATATCATACTCTTAGCAATTGTGAAATTATTCTCTTAAATCTTAAGACGGGATTGATAACTTTTATAACAAGATAAACACGCTTAATAGGCTCGGGTAAGTGATAATTTTATGATTAGATCGACCATCCATTCCACGAATCAACAGCTTGTCTTGCCTTTATTTTATTTTATTCTTGTCGCAGATATTCTTGTGCCCCCTCCTATTCTCGGGGGAAAAAAACTGTTTCTGGCAGATATGGAGAGTGAAAACAAAAAGAACAATTATTTACTACTTTTTTTCTCTTTTTTTTGCGCGTGGGGGGGGGGGGGGGCTTTTTCCCGATAATTTTTTATTTCATCGATTTTTCGGTAATCGAGGTTTCTTTAAATTGACTAATGGGTGAAATTGTAAAACATTTCAAATCAAGGTAATAAACTCTGCTTTATGAGAGACGTTAGAAAGGTTGTAGGTTGGGGGGGGGGGGGGGTGCATCATCATTGTTTGTTTCATCAGTTTTTCGGGAAGTGAAAATTTTCATTTTTTCTACTCCCGGCTGCGAGTAGAAGTTTTTCGGGCATTTCATACCCCCTCCCTATACTAATCGGCCGCACAGGTCCGTAACTAGCGTGGGACAAGTAGGGTACGTTGCGTCCAATGGGCGTACCGATTCTTTCCCCTATGGGCAGAGGCACCATTGGGTGCGCCGATTTTTTCCCAGGGGAAGCAGCTGTGTTCCTCTTGCCCCCCACTAGCTACGGGCCTGCCGCACACGTACATACAGCCACAAACTGTTGATATCAAGACTAGATCAATAAACATGGAGAGAGAGAGAGAAATGGGGTTTAACGCCCACTTAACTAAAACTAGGTCATTTCGGAACAAGCATATGGTTTGATTTTATTTCAATAATTCGCTTGCGCATAGGGGTCTTTAGCAGTGGGAGGAAACTGGAGGACCCGGAGAAAACCCACGAGGTTGGACAGGCGACCCTACTCCTTGTCACGTACAACCGGGGATTCGTAACCACGCCAGTCGACTCAATGACAGACTTTATGATACTAACCATTCAGCCATCCAACCACTCAAACATGGAGAGAACTATTCGTGGAGAAGTAGCACAATAAGCTTATATTTAACGATGAGGCAATTTCACAATCCGCCCAATACTTTATTAAACTTTGTCAGATATACTGACTGCACGGAGAATACCCAGAGCCGTAACTAGCTCAGTGCAACGAAGGGCGGGCGGGGGAGGGGGTGTTCTCGGGGGTGCTGTAAAATTTACGGACAATGTATATCTACTCATTTTATGGTCGACAATTTTTTCATAGGGGGCGAGGGGGGACTTTTTGCAGGGGGTCTTCGCCCCCTCACCCCGTGCCCCCCCCCCCCAAGCCCCCCATTTACGGGCCTGAGAATCCCAATTAATATCCGAATTAATATCTTGTATTAGTATTCTTCTCTTTGAAAAGAGGCTTATTACATTGTCTTGCATACGCAGATCATCTTTATTGAAACATTCTATTTATATTCCTTTCAGTTACCGATTTCAATTTTAAAATGGCCGATATTGCAGAAGAGAAAAAAGAGAAAAAAATCGGATTTGACTACCAAGATGATATAGAGCCAGAGTTTGAAGCAGCATGTGATGATATAGCTTTCAAGGGAACCTACGCATCTATTCACAGTTCTGGTTTCAGAGATTTCTTGTTGAAACCTGAACTTCTCAGATCCATTGTTGATTGTGGTTTTGAACATCCTTCTAAAGGTAATTTAAGTAATGAAACCATTTTAAGTTGACATCAGATTATTTTAAGTTCTCCGCCTTCGTTGCCCCAATCGAAGCAGAACAGTAGAAGTTAAACCCTTTTCTGGATTGACTTCTGATACTTGAAAGTACAGCAACATGACAGCCCTTAATTTAAGCTGGGGTTTTCCATAAAACGTTGGACAGTGATTTTAGGTATTAAAAAACGGTGAAACAAACAATGTTGTTTACATGTTTACATTGTAGCCGTTTTTGATAGCCTCGTTTATTGCTCAATTAGTTTTTTCTGCAATATTCCGCTATGCACTGGTTAATTGGACGTAATCAATTTCGTGAGTCATGACGTAACGTTATGTAAACAAATTTGGAGCTCTGTTTCAACCCGAATGATATTGTTACGCAGTTAGGTATTGGTTGTTAATCGGACTATTGACCAGTCATAAACTGGAACAGAAATTTGCTTTCATACGGCAGTGTTCAGTGGGATTAGGTCTCATCAAACGAAACACTGGGAGGAGTATAGTATGCATGTTCCTTTAATAGCTAACCCTAAATTTTTCAATTTAGGAAATCAATAAATATTATTTCTATCAAATAAAATGTTTGGAACAATGGTACATGTAGACATTCTGGCTTTTTGTATCTGTTGAATTTGAACGGTTTATAATGATACAAGTTACACTGCTCGATAATCCTTTTATTCCATATTTGAATTATTAATCATACTATTGTGTTTGTATATTTTTAGTTCAGCATGAATGTATTCCCCTAGCCGTCTTATCTATGGATATACTGTGCCAGGCTAAGTCTGGTATGGGTAAAACTGCTATATTTGTGTTGTCTACTTTGCAACAACTTGAGCCGGTTGATGGACAGGTAACTTCCTTTTTGGATAAGCCTCGAAGAATAATCTCAAAGATCACTAATTGTAATCCAATAATTCTGAGACCCCTTAATTGTGATGTTGCTGGAAAGGGAATTGAATTTTGAACCCACTTGATAACAAACCATGCACTACAAAGTAAAACGCGGAGTTGGATGGCCGAATGGTTAGCAATTGCGCGCTGTATCATAAACTCCGTCATTGAGTCAACTGAGTCATCGATTCCCCGGTTGTACGTTACCAGGAGTAGGGTCGCCTGTCCAACCTCATGGGTTTTCTCTGGGTCCTCCGGTTTCATTCCACTGCTAATGATCCCTACGCGCAAGCGAAATATTGAAATAAAATTAAACCATGTTAGTCCTGTAATGACCTAGTTTGCGTCGAGTGGACGTTAAACCCCATTTCTCTCTCTTCTCTCCGCAAAGTCGTACGGTCATGTTTCCTAATAGCAGATTTGAATTCCTGACGCAATTCCCTATTCCGCAAAACCAAAATTACACATTGGTTGCCGAGCTATTGGGACCGAAAGTTTTGCAGCTATGCTCGTTTTTGCCAAAATTACCCAACTTTAAGGAGCCATATCTCCGCAAGTACAAATCCGGTTGAGCTGAAATTTGAAATATCGTTTGTCGGGTCTCACAAAAATATGTATACCGTTCCGATTTTCATCATCTTTTCTATGTTGTTACCAGATCTTCAGTTTCATGAATTTTTAAATTTAGGTATCTGTTTTGGTTCTGGCCCACACCCGTGAATTGGCCTTCCAGACTAGCAAGCAATTTGAAATATTCAGCAAGTACATGAACAACGTGAAAGTTGCAGTGTTTTTTGGTGGTTTGTCGGTGAAGAAAGATGAAGATGTGTTGAAGAAGAATTGTCCTCATATTGTTGTTGGTACACCAGGTCGTCTTCGGGCCTTGATTCGCAGTAAAGCACTCAGTCTAAACCATGTGAAACATTTTATACTGGATGAATGTGACAAAATGTTGGCTGAAATTGGTACGTTTCATTCATTTCATTTAATCAGATCTTGTAAAATTTTTTAAAATGTACAGTAGATTAACATGTTAACAATATGCAGGCCTGAAATTAAGGGTGTACAGTAGATACATTTATTGGTAAACGTTAACAAAATATGCATATTCCTGAAGCAATGACCCGAGAAATCTCTCCCCCTCTCTGGCCATTGCTGGATTGGCTTCTGATACTTGAGCTTTTGAGGGAGTGTGTCTAATCAAAGCTATCCCAAGTACAGCAACATGACAGCCCTTCCTTTGATCTGGGGTCTTCCCTAAAACTTTGTACAGTGATTTAAAGTATTAAAAACGGTGAAACTATTGTTCGTCTCCAAACAGTATTGTTTACACTGTAGCCGTTTGATAGCCCCGTTTGTCACGCAATTAGTTTTCTGCATAATTCAGCTATGCACTGGTTAATTGGGCGTAATAAACATCGTGAGTCATGACGTAACATTATGTAAACATATTTGGTCTAATTTGGAGCCCTGTTTAAAGCCGAATGATATTAGTACGCAGTTAGGTATTGGTTGGCCAGTCATAATTAGGAACCGAAATTTGCTTTCATTACAGCAGTGTTAAGTGGGATTAGGTCTAATCAAACGAACCACTGCGAGGAGTATGTATATTAAGCTACTATCCGACACTGTTAAACTTGGTGCTACACATGCATTAAATGGTATCAGTTAAGGTGCCAGAGATTAGAATACGAGAGGAACTTAACTGACTGTGTCTGTCAAAGCATACCTTGCTTACTGACAAGGTCTGTGGAAGGTGTCTTATTTACAGGCTTGACAATTTGTAATTTAACCGAGATTGACAGAATTTGTTTACCTGATACAGAGTTTATTATACAAAAATAAAATGCTTGTCAACCTGTTACGGTTAGCACAAACTTATTTTGACATTCAATCTTTTTGCTCTATATTTCAGATATGAGAAGGGATGTTCAAGAGATATTCCGAATGACACCACATGAAAAACAAGTTATGATGTTTAGTGCTACGCTTAGTAAAGATGTCCGACCAATCTGTAAAAGATTTATGCAAGATGTAATTAAACCTGAATTTTTAACCTTTTCTCCAACTTGTATGGTCGTTGCCTACGGATGATTTGATGTTATGATGATTTGATTTTATCAACAACTACAAGTCATTGATGTGGATAACGATTCCTCTCCCATCTGTTAGCAAGTCATTGATTGGTTGGTGACATTGATTGGCCACATTCTGATTTAGCAACTGTCATTGATTGGTCAACAAAGAGCTTGATTGTCATTGGACATCCTGATTGGTAAACTTTGCAACCTTTGAATGGATCAAGTATTCGATCAAACAACATGTTAAAAATTCTGACCACGACTTATGATTCGTCCAGCCTACATTGTTCACATTCATTACACTTACAGCACATAATCATCTATTCAGAAGAATTATCATGGATATTTTAAATTTCAACAGATAGAGATAATTTGGCCAATTTAGCAGTTCGCCCCTTTTTAAACACAACTGGAAATGGGACATATGTTTAAACATTACCAAATGCACATAACTTGTAACCCAAATCAAATTCATATAATTTTTAACCCAGTATTAATTGTCCAAACTGATTCTGTATGGATTAACAGCCATCATATTGGAAGATGAAGATTTTGTGGACAAATGTTCAGCAACACCAAAAAACCTAATCCTAAATTATGGTGTGGCTAGATCGACAAATCTGAAATCATCGCGTTACAGCACTGCTTTTAGTTGTTAGGGAACCTGTTGTAGAAACGAGGCACACAAAGCCCCTAACTCTCAAAGTGAGGGGATAGGTGTGTCTCTTTCGAGTAGGTCGCGAACGTGCGTTAGAAATTCAGCAGAAGACCAAGAAGTTACCCAGAATCGGATATTAGGAAGTTACACAGCGTTAGAGACGCAGAAGTTACCCAGAATCAGAGGCCGATAAATTAGCCAGAATCGGATACCGGGAAGTTACACAGCATCAGAGACCGAGAAGTTATCCAGAATAAGAGGTCCATCAAGCTACCCAGACTCAGAAGACAAAAGAAGTTACCCAGAATCAAAGGACCGGAAAGATATCCAGAAATAGAAAACCGAAAAGTTATTCAAAATTCAGAGAAGATCATGGCGTTACCCAGAATCAGGAGAAACATAAATTCCAGAATCCAAATAAGACCGAGAAGTTATCTAGAATCCAAAGAAGACCGAGAAGTTATCTAGAATCCAAAGATAACCGAGAAGTTATCTAGAATCCAAAAAAGCTCGATAAGTTATCCAGAATCAGAGGACGCATAAGTTATCTCGAATCCAAAGAAGATCGAGAAGTTATACAGAATCAGAAGACACATAAGTCATCTAGAATCTAAAGGAGATGGAGAAGTTATACAGAATCGAAAGAAAATGGAGATGGGGAGACTGATGAGTTTGAGATGTCCGCAGAAAATGTATTAGTAGAGAGAAGTCGATGCTTTAATTCATGTTTGACGGTTGTTTTAGAAGGACCGCTGGGGTAGAGGGAAATGATTTCTTAGTTATTGGTATTATGGAAGCAGACAATCAGTAAGTATTTAGGGAAAACCAAAAAATATTTGCCAATGACTAAAGATGATCATCAGTTCCGTCAAACAAAGTGAAGATGGCATCAACTTATGGGACCAGTTATCCAGAGAATCATTACATCAATTGTATTCTGAATTTCTACAGAACAGCTGTTTGCAATCAACTAGAATCTTTCACCAATTGTATTCTATAATTCTACAGAACAGCTGTTTATAATCAACTAGAATCTTTCACCAATTCTTAATAAGAAAACCACAACAACATAGCAAATACACTATACACAAACATTGTAGAGAAATTACAATATCAACTCAAGATAGGACACCTTTATCATTAATATAATTATATACACCGACTTAAGTCAATACGTCACGGAAATGTCACTGACAGTCTTCAAACAAATCAAAGAATAAACTTCATATGACAAACATATACTAAAGATCCATCACAAGTACCCCATGTTCCTTCCTTACCATCCAGCTGAAGATGAACAGAATCTTGTTACCAAATCATCATGACCAGTTCCAGATTTCAATGACTTTTTTCTTTTTCTTTTATAATTATTTTAATACTTTCTAAACATTTGATCTAATTTACACTGCCAAATCTAATCTTGAGTATAAAACAACTAAAGAATTGTAATTTAAATTATTTTAAAATATATTTTGTTTAATAAGTACACTATTAGTGTACTGCCCATGCTATGACACCCATGTTTTATTACAGCCTATGGAAGTTTATGTTGATGACGATTCTAAACTAACTCTACATGGTCTACAACAACATTATGTTAAACTCAAGGACAATGAAAAGAACAGAAAGTTATTTGAATTATTGGATGTTTTGGAATTCAATCAGGTATAAGTTTTATATAACACATAAAGAAGACTTGGACTTGTTAACTTAGTTGTACGAATGGGTGGAAACGTTCACTTAAAAAACAAAACAAATGAATTTGAAACCCCTGTCTCGGGGAGTCCAGTGCTGGCTCACTAACTGGAAAGTCACTGTGAACCTAGACAGTCCCGGATTTTCAGCATGGTTTCTCCCCGTCAGTGGTGCAGGAGCGAGGACCAGGGAAAGAACCACTGAGGTCACATGTCCATGTAAAGAAATGTCAACAGTTTGAATCCGATGAGTAGGGAGAAACCGCTTCTGCCCAGGCAATATTTCTCTCGTAGGTTTCTGTATGCCATATCCCTCTCATAGCACCATGTATGCCATATCCCTGTCTACATAGCCAGGTTGATGTAGGAAGTTAACCCCCATTTCACTACACTTAGAAATTAAGCAATAGCAGGGATGAATGGTGCCATCATAGAAATAAAATTTAGCATATTGTTGAGACATTTGATTACACCTAGTTAAATTCTGTATATGGTGTTGAAATACAACTGAATGTAAGACTGTTATTAAATGAATCATATCTTGTTTACAGGTTATTATATTTGTAAAGAGTGTACAGAGATGTATGGCATTGGCTCAATTATTACAAGAACAAAATTTTCCTGCTATAGCCATTCACAGGGCAATGACACAAGAAGAAAGGTATGTACCACAAGCTAACTTGTGGATGTTTCTGATAAAAAAAGGGGAGTGGGGTATGATCAATTAAAGAGATCTTCAGGTATCTTGTTCAGACATTGTTTGTATATACATGTAGCAATGACATGGATTTTACATATTTTGGTAACTTTTTACTTCAGATTGTCCCGTTACCAACAATTTAAAGATTTCCAGAAACGTATTTTGGTAGCTACAAATTTATTTGGTCGTGGTATGGATATTGAGAGAGTTAATATTGTCTTTAACTATGACATGCCTGAAGATTCAGATACATACCTTCATAGAGTAAGTTGAAGCCAGCAACTTAGTAAATTTTATCTATTGACCGTTCATTGTATTTTAAAAAATGATGGCTTGTCGAGGATGGCGGTGGCCCATACAGACCTTAATAGAGTTACTTAGTAAATATTGGAGTAAATGTTTAATACATTTTATATGTTGACCGTGGACTGTATCTTTAACAAGTTGGCATATTTAGGATGGTGGTGGCCCATACACACCTTCATAGAGAACATATAGTAAACATTGAGGTAAATGTGTAATACATTTTATACGTTGACCGTGGACTGTGTCTTTTAAAAAGGGTGGCTTGTTGAGTATGACACTGGCTCCCTAACCAGGTGGTTCAAGGTTCACTCCTTGTGATGGCCGAGCAAGTTCATCTGGATTTTCCTGCCGGGTTTCCCCACATCAGTGATGCAGGAGGGAGGGTCAGGCAAGGAAAAACGTCTTGACATTCCCGTGGAACAAAATCAACATGGTTGGATATATTCCATTGGTAGCAAGGTAAAGGATCCCCCGATCCCCCGACACTTGAAAATCGAAATAAAAACAGATCATAGAAACGCTGTAAGGGTACCATATTCCCCATTGTACACTTCATGGCGTACGCCCGCCCTCCTTTAATATGGTGCAGAAAAGTAAGATGCGAAAAGCCAGTACATTTATTTAAAAAAATTAATTTAATTAGTTCGGAATCTTGGCTTTCCACTGGATTCATTTCTTAATTAAATTTGAAATATTTGAATCGTACCCAACATGACTGTCGATGAACTTCAGATCTGAAATACTGTAGTTGACAATCATATTTTATATGTTGTAAATGAGATTAGTCCCGCCCATATTTGCTGCATTGTTGGACTGGTCAGATATCAAGTTTAAATTATCTCATAAAACGGGTTTTTTTACAATTGTTCCTAACTTAATGATTTATTTAATATTTTAGGTTGCCAGAGCTGGTCGATTTGGTACTAAAGGTTTAGCCATCACACTTATATCAAATGAAAATGATGCTAAAATATTAAACGATGTTCAAGAGAGATTTGAAGTGAGCATCGCTGAATTACCAGATGAAATAGACATATCCTTTTTCAGTAAGTTGGGGTTTTTTTTATGACAGTTTGTCAATACTGCGTTAGTGGTAATTTTGGAAACATAACATGTGTAAAATGTTTCAATGGCACTTTGTAATTCAGCTGGATATACACAGAACAGTTATATGGATTTAAATTTTCATTTATGCCAAAGGAATTAGTGGCATATATCATTGTTTATTAATGATCAAGTTCTGTTATTGTTACATGTGTAAATATTCCCTAGTTTACGTTAAAATTTGGAGATCACGGTGGCTAAGTGGGTAAGACGCTGGCTCGCTTGCCTGGCGGTCGGATGTTCGATCCCTGCATTGGCCGAGAAAGTTCATCCAGATTTTCCGGCGTGTGTACCCCTTGTCAGTGATGCAGGACGGAGGGCCTGACAAAATGACAGCTGTCTAGTCGTTCGGATGGGACGAAAAACCGATGTCCCGTGTACACATTGGCGTGCACGTAAAAGATCCCTTGGCAGTTGAAATTCGATAATAGAGTAGGCCGTAGTGCCATTGTAGGGGCAAAATTTCCCTCATAGCACACTGTATGACTACGCCCGTTTTCATTAGCCCAGTTCGGAGCAGAACAGTAGGACGTTTTTAAAGATAGGTTGACAGGCAACGAAACATACGCCCACAGCAGCTAAATCGTCCGGGCAGTCAACAAGAGTTGTCAAATATTTTTAATTTTCGGTAATGAAACATTTAAAATACACTATCTGATTATAAATTTAAAGTCAATCGGATATTAACTTTGACCTCTAGAGCGTCCACAAGATTTTTCAAAGTGATTAAGGGCCATAACTCTGGCAGTACTTATCGGATATTGCTGAAAATCAATAGGCTTCTTCGTCTCATGACCTTAAACACAGTGTATACATTTAAGATCAATCGGATATTAACTGTGGCCTCTAGAGCGTCAACAAGATTTTTTGAAGTGATCAAGGGCCATAACTCTGGCAGTAATTATCGGAAATCGGTGAAAATCAATAGGATTCTTCGTCTCACGACCTTAAACACTGTGTATAAATTTAAAGTCAATCGGATATTAACTTTGGCCTCTAGAGCGTCCACAAGATTTTTTGAAGTGAGCAAGGGCCATAACTTTGGCAGTAATTATCGGAAATCGCTGAAAATCAATAGGATTCTTTGTCTCATGACCTTAAACACTGTGTATAAATTTAAAGTCAATCGGATATTAACTTTAGCCTCTAGAGCGTCCACAAGCAATAATTGTGGACGCCGGACCGACGGACCGGGGAGACGACAATATACGACCACATTTAAATGTGGGCGTATAAAAAACCCATTTCATTTCATTTAGATTAAAATTGTAATCATTTGCTTGATAAAATTTCGAGAATTCTAGTTATTGTAATCCATAGAATTGTATCCTGAGCGCAAATATATGGTTGGGGGTTTAAATTTTATGAATTTGTTCAGTACCAATCGTACGTGTGGATGATGACTAGGACCCAGTTAAATATATTTCATTTGTCAGTTGGTTAAATATACAAAAGCTCTAATAGAGTCTTTGATGTTTGCCAAAATTACCTGGGGGCGTTGGATGGTTGAATGGTTAGCACGTGCGCGCTGTATCATAAAGTCGGTCATTGAGTCAACTGGCGTGGTTTCGAATCCCCGGTCGTACGTGACAATGAGTAGGGTCGCCTGTCCAACCTCGTGGGTTTTCTCCGGGTCCTCCGGTTTCCCCCCACTGCTAAAGACCCCTACATGCAAGCGAATTATCGAAATAAGATTAAACCATATGTTAGTCCCGAAATCACCTAGTGGATGTTAAAACCGATTTTTCTCTCTCCAAAATTACCGGATAAATTATTATTGGAGATTAGATATTAGAAGTTAGAAGATTTACAAGGACTATTAAAAATAACCTTTTCTATTTACAGTTGAAGGACGATAAGCCGTCAAAGACAAGAGATGAGAGGAGTTATTTTTTATAGTTTATATAGTTGTAATAAATCATAGTCATTTCAAAAGGATTTCTGGCTTTTTAATTGTAGCCCGTTATTTTAACAGAACAGCATGCCTTACCGTAAAAGGGGCGGGGCATGTTCCTGAAGCAACGACCGTGAGTTTTACAACATATAGCTTGATAAGATGTACGTAGTTAAGGCGATATCAAGCTTTCTATTAAAGATGGGAGAGTGGGTGTGTAGCCAATGGTTTAACGTGTTCGGCGGTGCAATTGTTTGCGACGTCTGTACACACGCTGTCCACCATCACGTCATCATGAAAGGAAACGTGACTCGTAGTTAAACCATAGAAATACTCGCCACCAATATCCCAAGTTGCCTCCCCCTCTATACGTTCGTTCGGCCACCAGCGAAAACGTAAAACGTCGACCTCAAAGGATGAGGCCAAAATACGGTCTCCTGCCTGACCGGTAAACAAGTTTCTCGGAGTCAGTTTCGAATGGTATGTGCAGACACCCTTCTCATACCAGTTCTTTGCTGTCGCAGTTCATTGCAGAACCGGGTGTAGAGATCTTGTGCTGCTGTTGTTGAGCGAGGTCATCCAGCTCTTGTGCTGGTTGGTACCTGTCCCAAAGACGTGGAATGGAGCTCTGACAGAGATTCATGTGGCGTGCAATTTCTGACTACAATTCACTTACCTGGGAGCGGTCTATTGCAATGTTTTGATTCAGCGGGCGTAGTCTTGGCATGGTCGACGTCGAAATGTAAATAAGGCACCACTGCAGTCTTTGTAACGTTAAATAACCAAAAATACCCCAATCTTTTCGTAGAGTTTCACATGTATTCGACAAAATCTGACCATTTCACGCAATTTACACATAAAGTACCACAACGTGCGGTAATTTTGTTTTAGAGGATATTTAGGCATGCTATCCCATTCCAGAAGCATTTGTGCAGCGGGGTCCAAAATGGAGACAGCGTCAAGTTTGGAGTGAATTTCATAAAATCAGAATCTATTGAGACAAGAATTCGGTTCATTTTGCGGCACCCATGTATAGAAGTCCAACTGCCAAGGGTTCTTTTGCGTGCATGCAAATGTGTACACAAGACCGGTTTTTCGTACCAACCAAACGACTATACGTTGTCCCTTGCCAGACCCTCTGTCCTGCACCACGCCGCAGAATCCAACTGAACTTTCTTGGCCAACGCAGGGATCAAAGACGGGACCATTAGGTTAGCAAGCCAACGTCTTACTAAGACACCATGAATTGTAATACTATTTAGTAATTTATGCGAATATCAGTGAACCAGGGGACAGATTTATAATTACCTATGTTATCTGTCTCCTCCATTGTCGTTGCGAGTATGTTATGCCATGGACCAATTATTGGTTTCAAATCCATAGGTTGTCTTTACAAATTATTGATTCTAAGTTCATGACCAAAAATATAGAAAGTATGCTGGTTATTTTGATACGTCAACGGAGGTATAGTTTAGTAAACATGTTAGTCATTTACATTTTTCAATAAATTATTGTCTGAAATACACTCGAGTGGAAAATTACTAGTTAGTTTATGTCTTTCGGTACCTGTAAGAGAGCGCGACTAGAATAATAGGTTCTTAAAGAGGAGACACACATTGGACTCCTCGTCAGATTCTTTAGGGAGAAGATGTAGCAAGTTCTACCAGAAGACTCGCTCTGGCGAGTTTGGATTGAGGGAATGACTTTTATTGTAACCTATGTATCCAGTGCTTGACATGATATGTAGAAACTGTTTCATTGTTATTACTGTGTGAAACCATAATCCGAGTAAACTGAAAGTAAATTCACAGCACGGAGTGTCAAGAGTGATATTTAAAGAGGCGTTCTAACCAGTAGAGAATTACAAATGTAACCAGAGACAATACTAGACGATCACAAGGCTAACAAGCCAACAGTGAGGCTGATGTCCCCCGCCGAAATCCTCAAATAAATAGATGACACATTAATAAATCGCACATCTATTTTTTTCAAAAGTATCAAGCAATCAAACTGATTATCAACTATACACAAAGTTTCATCACTCTCTATCAAATATAATGAAAGTTGTCTTGTCCCAAAGCATCGACCAAGGAAATTGCTTACATGTATCTCTGCTTAACTTTAGCTCAATATGTTAATCATTGAACTCAGTCAAGACGAACATCTACATAAAGTTTAAACATACTACCTCAATTAGAAGCAGAGTTATGTTCCAAAGTCTTGACCAATGAAAATGCTTATTGCTCCTTAGACTAAGCAGAAAATTCTCACCATCGAACTTAGTCAAGGTATTGATGTAATGAAACTATACACCAAGTTTCATCACTCTCACAGAACTAAAGTTATCGTGTCCCAAAGCATCAACCAATCAAATTGCTTATCTCTGCTTACCCTAAGCCGAAAATGCTCATCTTCGCACTCCATCAAGGCATTGACACCTACACCAAGTTTGTACATTCTAGCTCAATTAGAAATGAAATGAAATGGAGTATATAAAGGACTACCATTAAAAAGTCAGAAATCGATTTGAAATGACTGATTTATTTACAACTTAAAATGAAATGTTTTACATAAAATCTTTTTACACAAATGAAAATTAAAATAGATTGGCGTAGACAGTCTCCCAGCTACATGTTATACATTCAAAATGTATGGGCACTATAAAAACTCTTCTCTTAAATTCTTGTCTTGACAGCTTATCGTCCTTCAACTGTAAAAAGAAAAAAAATATTACTTGATCTGCCATAAAAATTCTCAAAGGACTATTTTATAACAATGTTTTAGAAGGGACATTTTACGCTTGACCGAGAAATTAAAATATATTTTACAGAGCATTGACCATCACTCACGCACTGGTAATCAAGAAATTCATATAATTTAAACCCTTAACCTATACTTGTTCGATAACAATTCTATGGATAACAATTACTGTTTGTTTTATGAGCAACATTTCTACCAGAATTCCCTTTTCATAGAATTTTAACCCAAAGTAACAAAATTTTATTAATAAACAATGACATATGTCAATTTTATTCCCATGATGTATTACAAAGTACCACCAAAACCATTTATATTTGTTCTATTTTGACCATCCAAAATGAGGACACTGTTTTTACAGACTATGATTAACTAGCCCAGTGATTCTCAACCAGTATGCCACAAATTTTTGAACGACACACTAAGATTATGTGAAAAACCATGTGATCCCAATTGAGTATTCGTTGATGTCTACGGATAAGTTCATAGCTGTGTTTTTTTTAATTTAGTTTTGAGTCATTCTATCTATCTATGACTAGTCTCTGTCTACGGTTGTATGACGACTGACTTGCCATGTTTTTATTTTGCAAAATTCAAATATTTTTCATATATATTTAGCCAGGTGTGCCGTTATTTTTTTCATGTGTTCCAAAGTGTGCCGTTGGCAAAAAAAGGTTGAGAGCCACTGAACTAGCCTGACAAAACCGTCATAAAAATAAAACTTACTGTAAGAGGATATGTCAATTTCATCTGGTAATTCAGTGATGTTCACTTCAAATCTCTCTTGAACATCGTTTAATATTTTAGCATCATTTTCATCTGATATAAGTGTGATGGCTAAACCTTTAGTACCAAATCGACCAGCTCTGGCAACCTAAAATATTAAATAAATCAATAAGTTAGGTTTAAATCAACAGTGATGTTGTGATCTTACCGGGAAAAGATGGCCTTCTGATATCCAATATTTAAGACAATAAATCGTGTACCATAATACATTTCAGTGCTACTTGTAATAAGGGACTCGAAAAACAAGTCTAGGCATATTCCACAAGTCATGTCAAACGATGACGCTATATTCTTATCTGGAGAGCATGCCCAAAAAATACTATCGGCGTAGACTGGAATAACCAGAAACTAGAGATTGAAATTCGATTTAGAATAGGACTACTGGCGTATGTCGCCGAACCTAACTGATTAGAAATTACAGTAAAAACTGAAACGATTGAATGTAAATCAATTTATATACATTCATATTACATTATTGTATGCGTTACGACCCATTTGTGTCAATTTCTAGATCCCAAATATTAGCGACTTAGCTCCTTTAAACTTGATATCTGACAAATTCCAACAATATAGATGGTATGACCAGGATTAATCTCATTGACAAATAAATCACGTCACAAGATCTGAGCAACTTCATAATTTCTGGTCTGAGGCTAATCAACTGTCATGTTTGTCCAGATTCCAATATACCAGAGAGAGAGAGAGAGAAATGGGGTTTAACGCCCACTCGACACAAACTAGGTCATTTCGGGACTAACATATGGTTCAATTTTATTTCAATAATTCGCTTGCGCGTAGGGGTTTTAGCAGTGGGAGGAAACCGGAGGACCCGGAAAAAACCCACAAGGTTGGACAGGCGACCCTACTCCTGGTCACGTACAACCGGGGAATCAAAACCCTGTCAGTTGACTCAATGACAGACTTCATGATACAGCGCGCACGTGCTAACCATTCAGCCATCCAACCCCCCACCAATATACCAAAGTAACATGATGTAAATCTGTAATTATCAACTACAGTATTTCCAGTTTGTGTTATGCACAAGGTAATTTTTGCCCCCAAATAGGTTCAACAGCCTTTTCTTATTTCTTTTTCAACTCCCTGCGGATCTTTCAATTGCTACCAATGGGATATATGCGATCTTGCTTTATTTGGTCCCACCTGAATGTCCAGATGCTTTTCCTTGCCAGGTACTCCATCCTGCATAACTAATGTGGGGTTGGGAGTGGAGCGTGTCCCAGAACTTCCTTGTTAGTGGGCCACCACCATCTTCATAAGCCATCCTTTTTAAAAATACAATGATCGATCAATAGATAAAATCTACTAAGTTGCTGGCTTCAACTTACTCTATGAAGGTATGTATCCGAATCTTCAGGCATGTCATAGTTAAAGACAATATTAACTCTCTCAATATCCATACCACGACCAAATAAATTAGTAGCTACCAAAATACGTTTCTGGAAATCTTTAAATTGTTGGTAACGGGACAATCTGAAGTAAAAAGTTAACAAAATATACATTCATGTACAAATCTAGCCCATCAAACTTTTAAGACAATTTTTCAATATATAATTGATATTTTATTTTCTTAAACATACATTATGCAAGAGCTAAATCTGTCTATTACAGGTCTGAAATGTTATCTAAATTATTAATTAGACATTAATAAATCCAGGCCATAATCAACTCTAGATGACAGCCCTAGCCTGCGATCTTTAGTGGATTGTGAGCCGATTTACTGAATAACTTTCCTTCTCGATTTAACTATTAAATGGATAATTGAGGCTAGGGGAAATTTCAGTCGCTTGGTTCTTGGTTCATAGTGGATCAATTTGAATGAAATTTTCAGCAAATTGGCTTTACATTATCTAGTTTTTAACTATTATAGTGAGAACTGCCATAATGTATCTTTAAAGATGCATATGTAAGAGCTAAATCTGCTTATTACAGCTCTTTATTTTAGCTTCAATTGTTATAAATTATTTAAGATATTTATTAACATGGCAAGCCTATAATCAACTCTTTAAATGATGGATGGTGCAGATGTCAACGGATTAAAATACGATCTGAACAAGATGCACCTGTAATTTATCCAGAAGATCTCGATCATACCCGACTCCCCTTTTTTTATCAGAAGGATCCCAAATTATCTTGTGGTACATACCTTTCTTCTTGTGTCATTGCCCTGTGAATGGCTATAGCAGGAAAATTTTGTTCTTGTAATAATTGAGCCAATGCCATACATCTCTGTACACTCTTTACAAATATAATAACCTGTAAACAAGATATGATTAATTTAATAACAGTCTTACATTCAGTTGTATTTCAACACCATATACAGAATTTAACTAGGTGTAATCAAATGTCTCAACAATATGCTAAATTTTATTTCTATGATGGCACTATTCATCCCTGCTATTGCTTAATTTCTAAGTGTAGTGAAATGGGGGTTAACTTCCTACATCAACCTGGCTATGTAGACAGGGATATGGCATACATGGTGCTATGAGAGGGATATGGCATACAGAAACCTACGAGAGAAATATTGCCTGGGCAGAAGCGGTTTCTCCCTACTCATCCGATTCAAACTGTTGACATTTCTTTACATGGACATGTGACCTCAGTGGTTCTTTTCCTGGTTCTCACTCCTGCACCACTCACATGCTGAAAATCCAGGACTGTCTAGGCTAACAGTGACTTCCCAGTTAGTGAATTTGTTTCAAACTGTCATTTGTTTTTTTGACTGAACAGTTGGACCTCAGTTTTCCACCCATTCATACAACTAACTTTACAAGTCCAAATCTTCTTTATGTGTTAAATAAAACTTATACCTGATTAAATTCCAAAACATCCAATAATTCAAATAACTTTCTGTTCTTTTCATTGTCCTTGAGTTTAACATAATGTTGTTGTAGACCATGTAGAGTTAGTTTAGAATCGTCATCAACATAAACTTCCATAGGCTGTAATAAAACATGGATGTCATAGCATGGGCAGTACACAAATAGTGTACTTATTAATATTAAACAAAATATCATATTTTAAAATAATTCAAATTACAATTCTTAATTTGTTTTATACTCAAGATTAGATTTAGCAGTGTAAATTAGATCAAATGTTTATCAAGTATTAAAATAATTATAAAAGAAAAAGAAAAAAGTCATTGAAATCTGGAACTGGTCATGATGATTTGGTAACAAGATTCGATTCATCTTCAGTTGGATGGTAAGGAAGGAACATGGGGTACTTGTGATGGATCTCCAGTATATGATTGTCTGATGAAGCTTCTGTTTTGATTTGTTTGAAGACTGTCAGTGACATTTCCAATTGGTGTATATAATTATATTAATGATAAAGGTTTCCTATCTTAAGTTGATATTATAATTTCTCTACAATGTTTGTGTATGGTGTATTTGTTGTGTTGGATTGGGTTTCTTATTGATTAACAATTGGTAAAAGATTCTAATTGATTATAAACAGCTGTTCTGTAGAATTATAGAATACAATTGGTGAAAGATTCTAGTTGATTGTAACAGCTGTTCTGTAGAATTATAGAACACAATTGATGTAATGATTCTCTGGATAACTGGTCCCATAAGTTGATGCCATCTTCACTTTGAAGGAACTGATGATTATCTTTAGTCATTGGCAAATAGTTTTTGGTTTTCCCTAAATACTTACTGATTGTCTGCTTCCATAATACCAATAACTAAGAAATCATTATTCCTCTACCCCAGTGTTCCTTCTAAAACAAACGTCAAACTTGACTTGGAACATCTCGACTTCTCTCTACCAATCCATTTTCTTCAGACTTCTCAACTAATCAATTTCATCCATCTTCTGATTCTGGTAAACTTCTTGGTCTTGTTTGGATTCTGGATAACTTCTGGTCTTCCTTGGATATCTAACGCACGTTCGCGACCTACTCAAAAAGAGACACATCTATCCCCCCACTTTGAGAGTTTGGGGATTTGTGTGCCTCGTTTCTGCTACAGGTTCCCTAACAACTAAACGCGATCCCGTTACGCGATGATCTCAATTTTGTCAATCTGACCACAAAAGAATAAATGCTTTTTGGTGTTTGTGAAAACTGGTCCAAGTGTGTGGAATGTTACTCAAAATCGTCAGCTTACAATATGATGGCTGTAAATCTATACAGAATCAGTTTTGACAGCTGATTATGTAAATAAATAAATATTGGGTTATGTGAATTTGGTTTGTCTTCAATATATAGATCCCATTTCTAGTTTGTGTTTAAAAAGGGTCAAAAAGTTATTAATTAGCCAACTTCCTAAATTATTGCTATCTTATCTGCCGAAAAAAACAAAACACTATGGTAATTTATTTGAGTATATGAAATGGGTAAATGTAATTGATATGTGTTGCAACTTCTGGATATTCTAAAAGTCACCTTTTACCATCAAATACACCCAATACATATTTAGAAACAGGGTTTTATTCAAATCTAATAAAAATAGAGAAAAGAAACTTCATTTTCTTTGTCAAAGAATGGGATTCAGGGGAATTATTTGTGTGTTAAACCAGAAATGGGCATTAAACAGCTTTCTTTTCGAAACAATTTTTACTTTCAAATCGGTATATGAAAATTTATATATTTAGCCTTTCAGGATTTGATTTTTGCCATGACATTTCTTTTGCATAATTTTTGTTTTGAAAGCATGTTTTATTTCCTTACAGCAGACAGGACAATTTTTTTTTTGTTTTCAATTATCGCAATTTACTTTTATATTTACATTTTGACCAAAAGAATAAAATAGATACTTATTTTCCTGTCTGCTTAAAACAATGGATGTGGGTTTTTTGCATGCATTGATGGGGATTTGATGGTTGTTTCCACGTCCAGTATTAATAATCTTGCAGATATATGTGCTGTAAGTGCATTAAATATGAACAATGTATGGTGAATGATAAGTGCATCATAATTTGTAGTTTGTGGTCAGAATTTGAGATCGGATTAATATGATATCTACAACAGGTTGCAATGTTGACCCATAGTAGCAAGACGTCCAATAGGAATCAAGCTTTGTTGACCAATCAATGCCAGCTAACCAATACAATGACTTGCTAACAGATTAGACAGGATCGTTGTCCACATCAATGACTTGTAGTTGTTGATAAAATCAAATCATCATAACATCAAATCATCCGTAGGCAACGACCATACTAGTTGGAGAAAAGGTTAAAAATTCAGGTTTAATTACATCTTGCATAAATCTTTTACAGATTGGTCGGACATCTTTACTAAGGGTAGCACTAAACATCATAACTTGTTTTTCATGTGGTGTCATTCGGAATATCTCTTGAACATCCCTTCTCATATCTGAAATAAAGAATAAGGACAAATTTAATTTAATGCTAAAAAGTTTGGACTGCCAAAATGATCTTGCAGTGAATATCAGAAGATTGTCATATGACCAGCTAACCGCAACCCACTAGCACTTTTGTTTATATTGCGAAGCCGGCAAATAAGGCAGCTTTCACAGGTATTGGTGAGCATCATACAGATTGGTCTTTTTGTCAGTGTTTTTATTGATGTATCTCATACTGTCTGAGATACTACTTTAAACACATATTATGTAAGATTTAGATAAAGAGCTGGGCTAATGAAGACCGAAATAAGCCACACAGTGTGCTATGAGGGATTTTGCCCAGACAGCGACCCTAGAGTTTACTCTTATATCGAATTCCAACTGTCATGGGATCTTTTATGTGCACGGGACCCCGATTTTTCAACCATCCGAACGATTAGACAGCTGTCCTTGCAAGGCCCATCCGTCCTACAGCACTAACATGGGGAAACCACGCCGGAAAATCCTGATTAACTTTCTCAGCCAATAAATATCCTGCATTGTTAAATGTTTTTATCAAATGAAATGAATAAAACGTACCAAGTTCAGCCAACATTTTGTCACATTCATCCAGTATAAAATGTTTCACGTGTTTTAGACTGAGTGCTTTACTGCGAATCAATGCCTGGAGACGACCTGGTGTACCAACAACAATATGTGGACAATTCTTCTTTAACACATCTTCATCTTTCTTCACCGACATGCCACCAAAAAACACTGCAATCTTCACGTTGTTCATGTACTTGCTGAATCTTTCATATTCCTTGCTGATCTGGAAGGCCAATTCACGGGTGTGGGCCAGAACCAAAACAGATACCTAAAATTAGAGAGATGATATTTAAGATTAGATAGATTAAATGAAATGGGGGTTAACGTCTTACTGTTCTGGTCCGAACTGGGATAACGAAGACGGGCATACGCTATACAGTGTGCTATGGGGGAAATTTTGCCCAGACAGCGGCACTATGACCGACTTATGTCGAATTCCAACTGTCAAGGGATCTTTTACTTGCATGCCAATGTGTACACGGGACCATGGTTTTTCGTCCCATCCAAACAACCACAGACAGTTGTCCTTGTCAGACCCTCCGTTCTACATCACTGACAAGGGGGAACCCGGAAAATCTGGATGAACTTTCTCAGCCAATGCAGGGATCAAGAACCCGACCTCCAGGCTAGCAAGCCAGTGTCTTATCCACTTAGCCACCGTGACCCCCAGATTAGATAAAATAGCCCATCGCTTTTTAGAAGCCTTACCCAATGTACTAAAATCCTATTATTGCATATCAACAGCGATGCGATGCAAAAATATCTTATAACAGTAGGATCGCTTCTAATGACCTCTGACATTGTTAAAAGACGTGTCCAAAAACTAAATTACCTGTCCATCAACCGGCTCGAGTTGTTGTAAAGTGGCCAACACAAATACAGCAGTTTTACCCATACCAGACTTAGCCTGGCACAGTACATCCATAGATAAGATGGCTTGAGGAATACATTCATGCTGAACTAAAAATATATAAACATATGATTAATAAATTAAATAGAGAATATATGAAAATCAGGGTTTAACGTCCAATCGACACAAACGAGGGAAATATCGGGATTAAAACATGGTTCAATTTTATACCAATAATTTGTTTGCATGTAGCAGTGGGAGGAAACCGGAGAAAACCCATGAGGTTGGACAGGCGACCCTACTCCTTTCACTGGGGAATGGAAACCACGCCAGTTGACTCAATGACAGACCGTATGATACATCGCGCACATGCTAACATTCGACCCCACCCAGCCTTTTGAACATTAAAGAACCACTATCAAAAACAGATTGGCTAGCATGAAATAGATAAGACAATTATTATTCTAAATTTCGAAGAGATATTAAGATGGCAGTCTGACATCAAAACAACTCTTACCATAAACTTAAAATGGTTTAGCTGCGTTAAAGAAAATAAATCACCTTCAGAAGGATGTTCAAAACCACAATCAACAATGGATCTGAGAAGTTCCGGTTTCAACAAGAAATCTCTGAAACCAGAACTGTGAATAGATACGTAGGTTCCCTTGACATCTTTCTTAGCTACAGCATCACCACTTGCTGCTTCAACAACTGTTTCGGTTTCATCTTCGTAGTCTAAAATTTCATTCTCTGCTGCATCATCGGCCATTTTAATTCTTTTAATTGGTAACTAAAAAGGAGCAAAAATAAAAATGTTACAATTATTGTGAGCTATGTCAGAAGACAATGCACCTTTTTAAAGAGGATAATCTGGTACATGAAACTGTTTGATATCTATTCTGACATTTATCATACTCTTCGTGCAGGGATTATATCTGTAGTAATTTTACAGACATACATACTTCTGTTGTGCTACGTCTCTGCGGATAACCCTTTCAAAGTTCCCAGTCACTTTTGGCTAGTGATCTTTCTTAATACTATGAAAAGCAACAGCTTGTGCAGGACAAGAATACAATAAATTAAATGAACAAGTTAAGCTGTTGCCATTCATTGATTCCAGAATAGACGGTCTAATCATAAAATTATAACCTACCCGGGCTCAACAAAGGTTTATCTTATTATTAAAGTGACCATTTCTGTCTAGGGTCAGGATTTGAAAGAACAAATTTCACCTCCAAAGACTATCTATCTTACCGGAAGTCGAGGAACCGGTGAAATAAAATGTAGCGGTAACGCCGGTTTTTTTTTTTTCTTGGAAAGCGTTACTTAATTATTACTAATAGTATTACATAACCTTCTTGGCCAGTTGCTAATAATAGACATCGGTTACTAAATGCATAATTGCATCGTACTAATAACGTCATTTTTGTGGAACCAGCCAGAACGCACCGCTATTATGGGGTATTATTCAAAGTAAACATCGATAATTTGTGAAATTGGCCAATTCAGTAAACTCCGTTTGAATACTTCAATTGCATACGATTTAAGCATTACTTATCCAAAATAATTATTCCAAATGAAACACAAAATATTATATAACAAACCTTTAAAATTTAAAAGGAATCTTCAAGGTAGTTTTCAAGATGATGTCAGATTTCTATTCTGTAAGTTTCTTCTTTCTTCTCGGTCTTCTGTGGCAATGGCCGGCTAACTCTTTAATATTAACCAATCAGATGTCGCCAATTAAATCACATGCACAGTAAAAGAAATAAAGACAAGGTTATCCAGACGTTCATCAACTACTCGAATATTACTTTTAACGACAAACGAGTCTGAAAGTTATTGTGTCACATGACACGTAAAATGGCGGACGGCGACGACGAAAAATCTGACAAACAAGAAATCGCCGACCGAGATGCGATTGCGATAGAGAATAACGGAATTGAAGAAATGGAAGATGACGAGAGCGACTTAGACAGTGTAGTCGAAGAATGTAGCCAGGGTAAATACTTAATGAAGCAGTCACATTGTTGTAGAATAATCACATTCAGTCGATGCAATTGTTGTACCAGTGGCAGTATATAAAACATCTGATACCACTTCTCATATTTTACTATTATTACTAACAAATCGATTCTTATTGTACAATTGTATACATGTTTTTATCAGTACAGCCATTACTTGAAGATTGACATACGTGTACATGTATACCCGATAAGCAAGGTTGTCTTTGACAAATAATGAATTACTAATTGAAAAGATGTTGTCAGCCCTTCTTAGTCAGTTACGTTAGTGAATGTATTATGTCAAATTTATTTGGTGATTTTTGTATATGTGTTACATGCCTAGTAGTTCATTTTTGATATATTTCTAGGTCAAATCAATATCATGACTAAACTCCGCTGTATAGACTAAACCCCAAATGACACAATCACTAAGACTATACTGCACTTGGCAACAGTGCTATGTTAAAGTTGAAGTGTTGCTTTCACCAATCCAATAGGCCTTCATATCCCTGTTTTTCTTTCACATCATTTTCAAATATCACATTACACCAACCTAACTACTGAATGGCAACATTTCAGCTTGTTTACAGTTAACTCAGTAACAATGTTGGTTACCAGTAATTGTCTGCCTGCATTAGTAAAAATTGATATTTAAAAAGTAACAGACACACATACTGGACTTTTGAATTTGTCCACCACAGAGATTAACCTTATTACTATGTATATTTATAGCATGTACAATGAACAAGTAAGGTGCACATATAGTGTTATAAACAATTAGTGGACAGTTCCTCCTAGTCTATCCATTTGCTTGAAACCAATATTAGACATTTCATGGAAAAATTGGGATGAAAATTAACCACTAAATCCATACAAAAATGTGCCCAAATTAATATCAGTACCGGTGTCCAAATATTTTGATATTTTATTTTTCTGTTCCAGAGTATCAAGCATTAGATCAAACATTAGATCATCTTAATTCTGTGTTAAATTCATTAGAAGCAAAAAATGATGATATAATTGCAAGAGCGCTTGCTCTTCTACAAGATAATAGGGACGTCCATGAACAAATTAAGGAAGAAAGAAGACAATCAGATTCTTGAAGTCCTCATGGATATAATGAAAAATGTTGATCGTTAACTGTATATAGACGATAGAGATATATTGACTGGCAGAAAATATAACCAAGATTTATAAAAATTTAATATAATAGATAGATTTTATATTTATGGAGTCAGCAATGAAAGGAGAACCTCCAGATTTATCAAAGCACTGGTGAAACCAATTTTTTATCCAGTTATAATCTGACCCTGTGATATTATACATGCGTACGGATATTTTGTTTAAAGTTTTGGATAAAATGGTTCACAAAAGAAACACTAAAGAAAAATTTTTTGTAAAAAAATCAGGTATTTGTGGCACTTAAAACGACAAAAGATATCAAAACTATACAGTTATATGGGACAACAATCACTGGTTTATTATACACAAGCACGACGTTTCGATAAGTATTCTCTAGAGAATACTTATCGAAACGTCATGCTTGTGTATAATAAACCAGTGATTGTTGTCCCATATAACTGTATAGTTTTGATATGTTTCCAATTGCTAAATGCCACTAAAGGACAAAAGATATGGTTATTTAATGTTATAGTCTCCAGTCTTAGATACTTGTCAAGGAAATTTCCTAAATTATATGTATATTTATGATTACTGGTAGGATTTTTAGAAAATGTGCTAGTTTTACAAGAATAGTTTGTTACACATATATATTAGATAAAAAGCATTTAAAATGATAAGAAATAGACCATTTAAGTATTAGATATTTCATATTTAGTTCTTAAATTGAGATCACACATATTTACGACTTCAGTCCACTTTAAAATAAGTGGCATTAATATCAGTACATTTACAGAGGTAACTGACCCATAGATAACATAACACCCCTTAAAACAAAACCGACCCATAATGTAAAAAAAATAATTGTCACTACCAGGTTATTAGTGTTTTATATATTTGTTAAAATTACAAGAAGTCACCCATTTTATGATGATTCCCCAGTTGTACCAGGTCATCTGGGTTCCTCCTACTGCTAAAGACCCCTACGCACATTAAAATTATTGAAATAAAATTGAACCATAAGTTAGTCCCGAAATGACCTAGTTAAGTGGAGTTAATCTCTCTCTCTCTCTCTCTCTCTCATATATATATATTTCATGTATTTTAAAGCCTATTTGATTTAATCATTTGAATGATGTTTACTTGGTTACATCTCAAGTCAGTATATAAAGGATAAAAATATTGCATTGCATGTTGACTCAACAAAAGAAATCAATAAGATCTGAACACAAAAGACAAATAAACATTTTATTTACAATAAAATCTACAAGATTAGTTCATTTTTACATATGGCTCTCTGCAATCAATTATTCTCTATTCAGTATCATTAACAAGTAGAGAATTTGCCGAATTGTTCTGGAAAACTAAATATTTACCACTTAAAGGGGCTATACGGAAGATTAGATAATGAGCTGACAGTTCTCGCTATAATAGTTAAATAATAGATAATGAAAACAGAATATGCTGAAAATTTCAGTCAAATTGCTTCACTCTGAACCAAGATATTTGCGATTCAATTTTAGGCTAGTCTGGATCGTTATTACTTACGTTGGTACGATAAAAATCAAAATCTTGATTATCCATTTTTACGTTAAATTATCCATCCATTAAAAATTTGCATGCTAACGATGGCATCAAGAGTTGATTATGACCATCTGGATAGGTTAATTAATGCCTAATTAATAATTTAGATAACATTTCAGTCCTAAAGAAAGAATTGCAATAGACAGATCTAGCTCTTGCAATGCATAATGCATGTTTAAGAAGTGAATATTGGCAAGGAATTTACTTATACATGTGTATATCCTTATGATTTTGACCCTTTATGTTTTAATAAGTTTGAATATACACAACTATCTCAAAAGATATTCTAAAGGGGTAACAAAATGAATTTAATAAACGTGCAAGTTACGTGTACTACATTTTGATACCTCAAGAACATTATACACAAATTTATCTTAATAACGAATGTTTGTAAACAAATATTTTAAGAACTTGTAAATTTGCTAAAAAAATTTGTACATTGTGGAAGTACATGTAGTCATGTTCATTGAACATGCAATCTGATTAAAACACAGATCCTATTTCGTTTTATTTTTTATAGTTCAAAATTTCGTTTTACTTGTCTTAACAACACTAGCATCTGGAAGAGTTGTTATATAAGAGGCTTTTTAGTTGAAGTGAGAGATTAGCCAATGAAACAGTCTGTTACGGCGAGTTCTTGGCGTGCGATGCATGGAACTGTGGGTAAACTACTAGGAACGTCAATGCTGATTGATTAAGCAATGTCTGACGAAGACACCTGACGCGACCTTCATGTAGTGAAGGACATCGAAAGTATAAAAAAACGAAACGAAATAAAGATCTATATTTTAATCAGATTCAAATACATATGAACAACCGAAATCAAAATTCACTGCCATTTTGAAAGACACCGAGACAGGTTTAAAAACGGTAAATTTTATTTTGAACTAGTTCAAATATATGCTTCTGAACATTTTTAAAATAGTTTATGGAAAACAGCTACTGATTTATTTAGGCGACATTTCGAAGAGTATTCTCTCAACATTTTCAAGCTAATATTCTTCCAAACGTTGCCCAAATAAATCAGTAGCTGTTTTTCCATAAGTATGTGTTATAGTTTATTTATCTACCCAGTTACTAAATGCAACTTAAAGAATATATGAATTTGTCATAAATTTCTCGTACAATGTATGTTTTCAATATCTTTTTATTTGTATTGTTATACAAATTTATCTGCTGAATTACACAGGATTTGTTAATTTAAAGATACATTATGTAAGATTTAGATAAAGAGCTAGCCATTCTTGCTATAATAGTTCGAAAATAGATAATGTAAAATGAATAATTTGAAAATTTCATTCAATTTACTCTATTGCGGGTGAAGATATTGGCCTTTGAAATTTTGACAAGACGTGTGCAATAATTTCAACCACCGTACTGGTTGTTCAAAGCTAAGTCTCGCTCCTCCATTTTTAGCTTAAATCAAAATATGGCTGAACTGTTCTAATCTATTTAATATCGGAGAAACCCGATGCCATCGAGAGATGATTATGGTCTGGAGGAGTTAATCAATGTCTAATTAATAATTTAGGGAACATTTCGGGCCTAAAGAAGGACCTGCAATAGGCAGATTTAGCTCTTGCATAATGTATTTTTAAAAGATAGATTTATTAACATTCCACTGGGTATTAGTAGTTTTTGTAATTGTTAAAGCGGAAATTGCAAATTTTTAAGTTATATTTTTAAAATTTATTAAAATAAAGCCTGAAAAAAGATGGTATCCATAAACAGTCCTACCTTGTTAAAGAATAATCCTATTAATCCTATAATTCACTATAGCGAGCTGAGAAATTGGCAAAAATATCATTTTCCTCTTCATTTTCAAACGTTTGAATATCGCTACTCCATCGTGGAGAATAGAAAACAATGGAGGTAATTGTGTTATTATTTCCTGTGTAAATGAATCTTAAGTGTGAGAATGACACCTATGATCGTATAATTGTGAGTTGACAACCTATTGAGCAAAAGACATAGAAATAATTACGTTTTGACTTTCTTAGAAAATTTGCAATTTCCGCTTTAATTGAATATTATTATGTGTATTTATGTATATATTATTATTAGTAATAAATAAATGCAATATAAAACAGCAGTTGTTTCTTCCATGTATGTATGAATTTTAAAACATTATACCAACTACAAAAGACGTTTGTTTTCTAAATGTACCTCTAAAAAAAGCCATAATACTATTTTTCTCCTACCATTCTTCTTTCACGTTTTTATTCCAACATTAACCCTTCCAGGCCATATTTGATGAACCTTGTAAGGCTAACATGCCTAGTTAAAACGGTAAAAATGTATTAGCATATAAGGATTAGGACATTTGCTTGAAAGCTTTAAGGGAGCAGCGGTGACAAAGTGAGCAAGATCTTGGAGGTCTCAGAATGTATTGGAGGTTGGCCGAGAAAAATGAAATGGATTTTTTGGCGTGGTTCTCTGTTGTCAGTGATGCAGGATGGACAACGTATAGTCGTTCCATTGTACATATTGGCATACACGTAAAAGAACCTTTGGCTGTTGAAATTTGATATAAGAGTAGGCTGTAGTGCCACTGTCCGGGCAAAGTTGCCCACAAAGCATACTGTATGATGTAGCCCAGTCGGTGCAGAAAAGTAAGAGGTTAAACCCCATTTCATTTCATTTTAAAAGCTTTAATGACAGTTGTCAAAGAGCCAAATCAAGTTTGCATGAAGCCCCTAGGTGTAATTGAAACCGAGACCTTTCCATCAAAATGATTACCTGTACTAGCAATCCAGCATCTTTGACTTTGAATAAAGAAAAAAATTCATTCCATAAATGTATTAAGAATTTAAGAAACAATATTACATTTGATTTTCAGGCATTCAGGCAAACGTCTGTACACTGTACCATGAACAAAGATCTTGGTACAAGATCAAGAAATTATTTGCCATAATTGTATTAGAATAAGAATTCAAGAAACTACAATACATTCAGGCAAACTTCTGCACACTGTAGCATGGATAAGATCTCGGTACAAGAGAGAGAGAAAAATGGGGTTAACATCCACTCAACACAAACCAAGTCATTTCGAGAATAACATATGGTTTAATTTTATTTCAATAATTCGCTTGCGCGTAGGGGTCTTTAGCAGTGGGAGGAAACCTGGGGACCCGGAGAAAACCCACGAGGTTGGACAGGCGACCATATTCCTTGTCACGTACATCCAGGGATTCGAAACCACGCCAGTTGACTCAATGACAGGCCTTATGATACAACGAGCACGTGCTAACCATTCGGCCATCTACCCCCACCCCCGATACAAGATATCGTTATCCCACACTCATCACATTGCTGACAGTCGGCATCCATTGCTCCTCAACTACTCTATCTAAGCATGACATTTATTTTACACACCCAATTTTGTTTTTCTGTTAATTAACTAATATTGTGGCCCCTGGGATTCAGTCCAGTCAGCCACTCCCTTTAGCGTGTTTAGCTATAATCTGAATATTCTATTCACATTTTCATATCATAATATGTAACAAATGTTACGAAACGTTCCAATAATTTATACACTCTTCCAACTAAGGCCATGAACTGTGGTTATTTGTTGTGTCGTAGAGCAGCTCCCTGATTAGTTTGAACAGCTGTTTTAGTACGATAATACCAGGGACCAATCTTGGTGTGGATTAAAGCATCTTGAAAGGCTGAACATCCTTCTATAGAACTCAGAACACCATACACAACCTGTATTATAAAATATAGAATTTTAGTAGATATACAGTAAAGGGATGATGTTTAATGTATGATCTCCATGTCGCCTGTCCAATCTAGTTGGCTTTCTCCGGGTCCTCCAGTTTCTTCCCACTGCTAAAACCCTACACACAAGAGAATTAGTGAAATAAAATCAAACCATATGTTAGTCCCGAAATGACCTAGTTTGTGTCGAGTGGATGTTAAACCCCATTTCTTTTTCTCTCTATGAGGCAATACCTTTTGTTTGTTCTTTTACAATAGCTACTATATTTTTATGAGATCTTATGAGATCCTGAAACTGAGACGCAACAGCACGTCTTCCTGTCTATCCCTCTCTATGTACTTGTAGTTACTTACTAGATCTGATAAATCAGGATTTTCTCCTCCCATAAACTTTCGTTTTTTACCCACAGCAGCCACCCATTCATTACACGAATCATACAAAGATTCTCGTACATCATCCTTTAATTTATACCTATATAAATATACAATTATCTTATTATTTATACCAATAAAAATATACAATCATCTTATTATCTATACCTATAAAAATATAGATTTACACATATATAAATATAACACAATGAAAATAAAATTGTTAAATGTTAAGTAAAATTGAATATAAAACAAGTGAAAAATACCTGCTGATGTTAACTAGATTGGAAAAAACAAACAAAATCAATTTTTTTAAACAGAATTTTCAGAACCACCTCTTTAATATGTTCAGATTCTATAAACATATGGACAAAAAGGATAGAAAATGTTAATAAGAGAGATTAGGACATTTTAGGACTTTAATTTTATTTACAATTATCCTTTTGCATGCATTGTTTAAGCTGCAGTGGGTGGAACCCAAAGAAAACATATGAGCACAGGCAGGCTACATTTCGTTTGTCACATACAAGCCTTGACTCAATGACAACCTTAATGATCTAAAGCCCATATACTAGACCCCTTGGACACTCATACCCTCCAATCAAGTTAAGAGAGAGAGAGAGAAAAAGAGGGTTCAATGTCCACTCAGCACGAACTAGGTCATTTCAGAACTAACATATCGTTCAATTTTATTTCAATAATTCGCATGCGTGTAGGGGTCTTTGGCAGTGGGAGGAAACCAGACCCAAAGAAAACCCATGTGGTTGGTCAGACGACCCTACCCCTTTTCACGTACAACCAGGGGAATCAAAACCACACCAGTTGACTCAATGACAGACCTTAAGATACAATGTGCTAACCATTCGGCCATCCAACCCCCCATGAAGTTAAGAAACAAAGCATATATTCAACTCACTTTCTTTTGAGCAGTTTTCCTAATAAGTACATAACTGATGCTCCTACATAAATAACTGTTAACCTTTCTAGTGTACTAAAATTCTTCTCCCATTCTCCAACCTCGGAGAAATAACGGAAGGTAGCGAGAGCCTCAGATGGGGTACGATAAACATTTGGTGATAACATATGGACAAGATGATCATCAGCCCAAAATCGCCATGTTCTTTCACTTCTAAAAAAGAAAAAGAAATAATTTGATAAAAACCATATGAAAATAAATGATATTTATTATAAACAATCTGCCATTTTTTTATGTATTGACTGTTATTTTAAAGTGGAAGTAGAACCCCCTTGTTTTGTTTATCTGCAGTTCAACTGAAAGAATATATTCAATGTTATTTACTAACTCATTAAAGATACATTATTCAAGAGCTAAATTTACCCATTGTAGGTCTTTCTTTAGGCCTGAAAGGTTATTTAAATTATTAATTAGACATTAATTAACTTATCCAGACCATAATCAACTCTCAATGCCATCGGATGCTCAAGATTTTAACTTCGTTTAATTATTTAATTTAAAACTAGAGAAGCAAGGCTAAAGACTCAAATATACCAGTACCATGATTACGATGATAAAAAATCAATTACATATCTTGTCAAAACTACAAAATAATTTAAATGAAATTTTCAATATATTCATTTTTATTATCTATTTTTGAACTATTATAAGCAATAATGGCCAGATCTAAATCTTACATAATGTATCTTTAAGTAATGGATATCTCTAATGTAGAACAATGTATTATTGCCTAATATTCACTTATTATTGCATCATAACCTAGGACTAATGTTTGGCCGGATTATGGAGATGTACAGTTTATTGGTGCAATGGTGAATGTATATTTTATTATTGTCTAATATTCACTTCATATTGCATCATATTCTAGGGGGAATGTTTGGCCGGATAATGAAGTTATTTACATACATACTATATTACAGGTACCTTTTTTACAGTTTATAGATAAGATGAAATAAACACTTTCTATGAAGCATGTAAAGCTCTGTTAACATATCAACCTCATGATGCAATCATATTGAGACAAGCAGTAATAATGGAAGGGAACCTAGTTATAGAATTTGCATTAGACCTACATGTTGTAAATGAATTGAGGTTATAAAGTCCTACTTTTTTGCACCAACTGGGCTAATGAAAACGGTGATATGCCATACAGTGTGCTATGAGTTAAATATGAGCATACTCTACATTGAATTTCGGTTGTCATGGCTTCTTTTACGTGCACGCTTACGGCTGACCCCCGGATCCATTCACTTGATTTGATATTTGTTTATTTGGTGCAATGTCTATTTTCTGTCTTGTCCGCAGGTTTATCTTGTAGATTTTTGTTTTATGTGTAGTGCGGTCCTCCTGCACTTACTATTGAGTACACAGGTGGATCTCAGATTTTAGTGCCATCTAAAAGACTAGGCACTTTTCTCTGTCAAGCGGAAACCAGGCTGGAAATTTATTAGGAACTTTCTTTGGCCAATGTCTGAATCTAACCAGAGACATCCTGGTTAGTGAGTCACCACCCTACTCACCGAACCACTGTGGCTCCCCATCATGTTTATGCCCAAGCCAGTTATTGAAATAAATCTCTCCCTCTCTCTCTCTCCCTCCCTCCTTCCCAATATGTTGTACATTGTAGGATAGATTTTTAGGTTAATACCAGTCTTCAATACAGCACTAGAGGGAAAATATTTCAATATTTAGTGCAGAGAAAGAGAAATGGGATTTAACGTCCACTCATCTAGGTCATTTCAGGACTGACATGTGGTTTGATTTCATTTAAATAATTTCCTTGCAGGTACATGTATGAGTCTTTAGCAGTGGGGGGTGGGGAAAAGGAAGACCCTGAGAAAAACACATGAGGTTCCACAGACGACACTTCTCCTTGTTTAAGCAAGGATTTGCAACCACGCCATTTGACTCAATGACATCTTACAAACTGACGCTTACCCATTAACCATTCGGCCACCCTACTCTTATATATTAAATGCAAGTTCAATGTTCTCGAATAAATTTTTTGAAGTTTATAACCACTTACTTTCTAGCATCTGGTGTCGTCTTGGGTTCTTTCTCTCCAAACATTATAAAGTACCTATTGGGAAAATCATAAACAGTTTTTCTTCCTTCTTTAGACTCGATACAAGGATAGAAGGTTTTTAATTGATCTATTTTAAAACTTGGATTGGTGAGGTAGGACTCTAGTAGACTTATAATAACCGAAGACTCATTCAATTGCTGAAATATGGAAAATAATGGATTTTAAAATTAATACGTGCAAAAATCATAATACATGTAGTTCTTTTCTAAAAATAAACCTCTTTGATTTACTTCAAAATAAAGTGTGGAATTGGATTCATCAGAGGTATTTCCAAATATATTCTTTGAAATGGTATTGGTGGGGTCACGGTGGCTAAGTTGTTAATAAGTTGCTGGGTAGCTAGCCTGGAGGTCGGGTGTTTGATCCTGCATTGGCCAAGAAAGTTCATCCAGATTTTCTGGCGTGGTTCCCCCTTGTCAGTGATGCAGGACGGAGAGCCTAACTAGGACAGCTGTCTAGTCGTTCGGATGGGATGAAAAACCCAAGTCCTGTGTACACATTGGCGTGCACGTAAATGATCCCTTGACAGTTGGAATTCGATGTAAGAGTAGGTCGTAGTGCCGCTGTCCAGGCAAAATTTCCCTCATAGCACACTATATGGTGTATGCCCGCCTTCATTAGCCCAGTTCGGAGCAAAACAGTAGGACGTTAAATCCCATTTCATTTCATGGTATTGGTGACATGGGCAATAACTCTGTCTATGAATGTGTAACTTAGAATGTCAAAAGAATGTGTCCCTATGATGAACCATGCAAGTGGGGAAATAAATCGGATAGGTAAAAATTGTGAACTGACAGATATACTGGGGTGATGACAATATACAACCTAATAGAATGTGGGTGAATAGGCCTAAAGTGTATAAAAATACGTCATGCATTAATTCTGACTTTAACTGGATCGACAGTAACCCTGTTAGTCTATGGCAGTGATTCTCAAGAACGGCACACTAAGAAAATGTGAGAAAACATGTGATCCCAATTGATTATTCAATGATAAGTTCATTTAGTTTGAGTCATTCTAAGTGTCTATGACTGGTCTCTGACTGTGGTTGTATGTTGTTTGACTTACCATGTTTTTATTTTGCAAAATTCAGATATTTTTCATATATATTTAGCCAGGTGTGCCCCTATTTTTTCATGTGTTCCAAGGTGTGCTGTTGGCGAAAAAAAGGTTGAGAACCACTGGTTTAAGGCAACTAAAAAATACAAACTTACTACGGGTCCCCCCTCTCCAGCATCATTTACTACTACAATAGGAACTTTTCTGTAATCTGACCATTTTATTTGTTTCTTTGTTACAGAATTAACTTCAACTACATCATATGAAAACCCGTAGTAATCCAAAAAAGCCCTTGTTTTACAACAGAAAGGACAAGTTTGAAACTGATACAATGTTAATTTTAATCCACTATCATCTGAGTTGACTCGTATCTGAAAGTAACAAAATGAGAGAGTAATATTTTACCAACAATCTCATGGGCAAAAAGTTATAGAATTTACTTTCTATCAGTAGTACATGTAGGTCAATTCTGGTTTTCATCTTTCAAAAAAATGCATCATTTTGGTGTTTTGATGGTGAGGAGATACTCAAATTATATGGATAAAAGTGGGCCTTGTTTCATGACCACAGCTTGACAGGTGAAAGTGTGAAATAGTGTGAATGATAAGAACCAGTCAATTATTTACTAGATATGCTTTTCCATTACAAATGTGGAAGATCTCCGAGTTAGATTTAACGTGAGAAACAGTAAATTTTATGATCAGTGGAGAGAGAGAGAGAAATGGGGTTTAATGTCCACTCGACAAAAACTAGGTAATTTCGGGACTAACATAATATGGTTCAATTTTATTTCCATAATTTTCTTGCGCGTAGGGGTCTTTAGCAGTGGGAGGAAACCGGAAGACCCAGAGAAAACCCACGAGGTTGGACAGGCGACCCTACTCCTTGCCACGTACAACCGTGGAATCGAAACCACGGCAGTTGACTCAATGACAGACTTTATGATACAACGTGCACCTGCTAACTATTCAGCCATCCAACCCCCCCGTGATCAGTGGTGTACATGTGATTTTGTCCAATGTCCAATTTCATTCTGAACTGAAATTTCTAATACATGTACATAGAAATATAGACGATTTTATTCATGTATATAAATCTCCTTTTGAAAAGAAAACCCATGAATTATTTTTATATTATCAAAATCTTAAAAATATTATTGCTGAATTTTTCAGCGATTTTCAGGGGAGGTATCTCTGCAAAATAAAGGGAGCATATTAATTTCGATTCTAGCAACATGATGACAATCAAAAAACAGGCTGGAATTCGGTAAGTGAGAACGATCTGCTCTTATCATATTCATACAATTCAAGATAACTTTTCGCTACATTTGCCAACCAAAGACAGAATTTTTTATATTTTTACTTTCCGCTCGATACATCGGTGTATAGCAAGTAGGCCGTTTTGACCAAATTATGCCTGTGTTGACAAAAGTAAATTATGTTAATTTTGACCAAAGTGAACTACCGGTATGTCTGTGTGACAAAAGTGAATTTTGGCCGTTATGGTTTTAAGGCTAGCCAAAAGCCATGCCCTGGCTTGTGGCCTTGTGCATTGCCATTGGTAATTCTGGAGTTGCCAGTTGGCTTTAAAGTTAAAGGGGCTAAATCGCTAATATTTTGGACCTCGAAATTGGCACAAATGGGTCGCAAAACATATAATAATGTAATATGAATTTATATAAACTGTTTTACATTCAATCGTGTCTGTTTTACTGTGAATTGTCATCAGTTATGTTCGACGAAATACGCCAGAAGTCTCAACCGCAAGTCAGTTTCTAGCGTCTGGTTATTCCAGTCAACACCGATACTATTTATTGCGCATGCTCTCCAAATAAGGACATGATATCATCGTTTGACATGACTTGTGGAATATGTCTAGCCTCATTCTTTGAGCACCTTGTTACAAATGACGCTGAAACGCATTATGGTACACGATTCGTGTACCAATGGTAAAAATGTTTATTTTGTCTTAAATATTGGATATCAGAAGCTCATCTTTTTCGGGTAAGATCACAACACCAATGCTGATTTAAATTGCAAAAAAATTTGTGTTTCCAATGTCGAGGATTTTGGATGATATTGAGTTACGGGCTTAGCTACTTTAAATGCAATAATAATTAATAATTTCTTACACTTTTTGAAATCTTAACGTCTTGTGCTGTTTTGGTGTCGGCACTAACTTTAAGTCGATTCCAGTTATGACCAACAAACAGTGTTGTCCCACCAACACCAAGGCCAAGGGCAAAACTGGCAAAGGCAACTTGTTTCAACGATTTTCCAGCAATCAAAGATTTAAAGACATCTTTTGCAAAAAATCTCCTGGAAACTTGTTGACATGGGGATCTATTAATACAGTGAAAAGGAAGCAAAGAATGTCCCAAATCTTGGTAAATATTAAATTTTTGGGAAAATCTTATCATTCTCATGGGCGCAGCCATCTTGAATTTATGTAAACATTCTAACTGTGATGAGCCACATTCATTTATTTTGATTTCCTGAGTTTTATGGAATAAACAGTTAATTCGAATTATTCGATTGCTAATTATATTTGTTAAGATCAAATAAGATTTTAAAGTAATTTCTTCAAATAAGAAAATCAGTTACTATTTATTTGTAAATGTATCAAATGTGTTACATCACGTAAGTATTGACCGGAAATTGCATGTGTGGCTGAGTTGTCATGAGTAAGAAATTTCTGAAAAGCTGTAACTTGAATTAAATTTGTTTGTTATCTGTTCTATTTTTTAATATAAATAAACTTTATAGTCAGAACGCTTTGTTAGTTTACGATCACAGCAGACAAGTGAAAAGTTAAAAACTAACATGTCTGGTACTGACCCAAACAATGGTGCCGCTGCTAAGGGCAGTGGCGATATACCGGCTGTTGACGAATCTCAGCTGAGCGAAAAAGAATTGAAGAAGTTGGCCAAACAGAAAGAAAAGCAAAGAGAGAAAGAAGAAAAAATGAAGAAATTTTTAGAGAAAAAACAGGCTCAGCAGTCTTCTAAAGAAAATTCATCTAATGAGGTATAAGTTTACAAAAATGAAATGGGTTTAATTTTAACATGCAGTATGTTATGAGGGAAATTTTGCCCAGACAGCGGCATAATGGCCTACTCTTATATTGAATTTCAACTGTCAAGGGTGTACATGGAACCTCGATTTTTTATCCCATTCAAGCAACTAGACAGCTGCCCATGTCAGGCCATCTGTCCTGAACAACTGACAAGGAGAAACCACAGTGGAAAATCCTGAGTACCGGTAACTTTCTTGGCCAACACAGGCAATGAACCTGAGACCGTCAGGCTAGTTAAACAGTGTCTTACTCACTGAGCCACCATGGTTCCCTATAAGTTTATAGAACATCTGTGTATGTAAACTTTCTAGAACACATGGTACCACTTTCCGTCTTTCCATCATGAAAAATTTCTCCTGAGGAAGGGCAATATGCTGTTAAAAGATTTTGATGAATTATTTCATTGTTATTGTATTTGACTACTATTAAACATACATTATGCAAGAGCTAAATCTGTCTATTTCAGATCTTTCTTTATTTCTGAAATGTTATCTACATTATTAATTAGACATTAATTAACTTATGCAGACCATAATCAACTCTGGATGTCATGGCTAGCCTGCGATGTTTATTAGATTAGGTTCCGATTTGCTGTTCTACTTCCATTCATAATTCAATCATGAAATGGATAATCGAGACTATGTTTTTTTATCGTACCGACTTTAGTAATGATGATCGAGACTAGGCCGAAAATTCAATCGGTAAAATCTTAGATTGACATTTTTAAAAGAAAAATGGTGCTCATGATGTTTATAATTTTGTCATTCCTCATATTTGAGATAATGACATATTCGAACTAGATAGAAAATTTAGCGTATAAGACTTTACTAAAATGAATTATAAAATAAAACAGTCAACTTTTAAAAAAAAATTTATTGAATTATTTTTGCCTTTACAGTCAAAGAAAGAGAAAAAGAAGGAAAAAGAGAAAGAGGTTATAACGTATGATATTAAAACAGAGAAAGGAGGAAAGAAAGGTAAAGTTCACAAAAACTTTAGTATGTTAACAGTAAAATAAAAGTGTATGGAAGCTGAGGTGACTTGATGAGTAAGACGGTGACTCGCTAATCTGAAGATCCTGGTGTTGGCGTAGAAACTTCATAAGGATTTTCTCGTAAATGGTTCCCCCTTGTCAGTGGTGCAGGACGAAGGGCCTCGCAAGGAACGATGTGTAGTCATTCAGTTGAGACGAAAAAACGAGGTCCTGTATACACATTGGCGTGAACGTAAAAGAACCCTTGATAGTTGGAATTCGATATAAAAGTAGGCCGTAGCACCGCTGTCTGGGCAAAACTTCCCTCATAGCTCACTGTATGGGGATGCCCGTCTTCAATAGTCCTATTGGTGCAAAACAGGAGGATGTTTAACCCCATTTCATTAAAAAGTATATGGATAAGAATGAGTTTCTGTGATAGATGATTAAATGGTCATATGAGATACAAATTTGCTTTTACAAAATGTTGAAAGCTTTTTTTTTTTTAACTTGTGTTTCAAAAGGTTAGAGATACATGTAATACTCTAATGATTTATATTTTGTTGTTGTTTTGTTACAGATACTAATTGTGCAATGCCTAATTCCTACAGTCCAGCTTATGTAGAAGCTGCTTGGTATGATTGGTGGGTGAAAGAGGGATTCTTTAAAGCAGAATATGGCGTAAGATTTTATTTTTTTTTTTGACAATCTCACAGGTGACATAATTTAATATTGATTTTATTCACATAAGCATTGAGTGTTTTGTATGTAAAATGATTTTAATATTTGGATAATTTCCAGCTGGGTTTTAGAAAAAATGCTACATTTCTATTAGTTGTATGATTATTGTCATATTGTGGAATAGTGTAGATCATTGTGGTCTGAAACCTTATGTTTAAGTAGACACAAGTTGTCTCCCTTATGTCATAGTTCTTCTGCCTTCAATTGTATGATTATTTTTACAGGGTCGTGATCCAAGTAAAACTAAACCTGAAGATAAATTTGTGATGGTTATACCACCACCTAATATTACAGGTTCATTACATCTTGGTCATGCTTTAACTAATGCTGTAGAAGATACACTAGCCAGATGGTAAGCTCATGTATTGATAATACAGTTATAATGATTAAATGAAATGAAATGGGGGGTTTAACGTCCTACTGTTCTGCTCCGAACTGGGCTAATGAAAACGAACATATGCACTACGGCCAACTCTTATATCGAATTCCAACTGTCAAGGGATCTTTTATGTGCAAGCCGAACCACTAGACAGCTGTCCTTGTCAGGCCCTCCATCGTGCATCAATGACAAGAGGGAACCACGCCGGAAAATCTGGATGAACTTTTGGCCAATGCAGTGATCTATAATGAATAAGTCTTTCTAGTAGGGGGCAGTGAATGGTCAGACCATAGTCTACGTTAGTCCATCTAAATGACGGCTTAATAAATGTGGGTCAGTTAATCAAACAAGATAGTATAAGTTAAAGGAGCTAAATCTCTATTCTATTCCTCAATCCCTTTCAATTTTTAAATAAAATATTGTTTAAAAAAAAACTGGTTTTTTTTAGAACTGTTTAATTTTTAGAACTTTAGTTCCTTTAATGGCACCTGAATACCAATAAATAGGTGGTTATTTTAATTCTGATGTCAAAAAATGTAAGCTAATTCTCCCACCTTTGCACACAACAAAAAGCGATATATGCAATAGATTTGTTTCCCAAAAGAGAAGGGGGAGTGGGGGTGGATGGCTGAAGGGTTAGCGTGTGCCTGTTGTATCATTAGGTCTGTCATTGAGTCATCTGGTGTGGATTCTCTGGTTGTACGTGGCAAAGAGTAGAGTTTCCTCCGATTTCTTCGGTTTCCTCCAATTGCTAAAGTCCCATATGTGCAAGCGAATTATTGAAATAAAATTAAACAGAATGTTAGTCTCGAAATGACCTAGTTTGTGTCGAAATGACCTAGTTTGTGTCGAGTGGACCTTAAACTTTCTCTCTCTTTCTCTGAGACAGGTAATCAGGAATAGAACATATTGTGTATGGTTGTATATTTTTAGGCATCGTATGAATGGTAAGATGGTATTATGGAATCCAGGTTGTGATCATGCTGGTATTGCTACACAGGTTGTCGTAGAGAAAAAACTGATGAGAGAACAAAAGTTAACGCGACATGATCTGGGTAGAGAAAAATTTGTGGATGAAATTTGGAAATGGAAGAATGAGTAAGTACTGGGTTCTGATATGTAAACTGTATATGTACAGGTAATTCATTGGGCCTGCTTGATTTGTCCGCCGATAGGTGAGCCGGTTTCTACTACGGCTTAAGCCGGTCAGGTTACCGTATCGAAGCAAATCAAGTGACCCGGCTGATAAACAATATGGCATCGGATAATGTTATAATATTAAACCGGTTACATGACATGTTTTAATCAAAAACAGTATTCTTGAAAGTATGACTTGAAAGTGCCCACAAAATAAGCAGAAGATTGTTATTAGTAATATTACTGAGAAAAAATAAATGACATATGAACTTCTGGTTTTACGAAGCTCAAATTCAACTTCAAAACATTTGGTTTAATTTTAATGCTTTAAAATTAGTGTTTTATGGCATTCCTAAATAACATCTTCACCATCTTGCGCCGGTGTTCGCCGCAGCCGAACTTTTGTCGACTTTCGGTGAAATCAAGTGACCTCTCGCAAAAACTGTTGAACTGTGGTCAGCCGGTATGCGCCGGTATTGACAAATGAAGCAGGGCCATTGGCTTTGTTCATGTGATTGGCAACCTATAGTCAAATATGTATCCAGGTAATATCATCAGTTGTTAATCTCATCAGATTTAAATGCATGTCAATGTCTACACGGAATCGCTCGGTTTGTCATACTGTCTGAACGATTAGACACTTTTCTCTTAAACATACATTATGCAAGAGCTAAATCTGCATCTTGCAGGTCTTTCTTTAGACCTGAAATGTTATCTAAATTATTGATTAGACATAAATTAACTGATCTAGGCCATAATCAACTCTCGATGGCATCAGATTTCTCTGATATTAAATAGATTAGAACAGTTCAGCCATATTTTGAGTTAATTCAAAAATGGAGGAGCGAGACTTAGCTTTGAACAACCAGTACAGTGTTTGAAATTATTGCACACGTCTTGTCAAACCTTCAAAGGCTAATATGTAACAGAGTGAGGGAGTTCAAGTTAAACAATACTTGTCCGATCGCTAACCCGCTGTGTCACCAAAATCAATATGATTATATTAGGTTGGCCGATTGTTGACCGCAGTATCACCAACATTCAATATGATATTCATTGTGTAGTTCTTTATTTTATATAGTTAATATCAATAATATATCTCGCAATAGAGTAATTAGAATGAAATTTTCAAATTATTCATTTTATATTATCTACTTTCGAACTATTATAGCAAGAATGACTAGCTATTTATCTAAATCTTACATAATGTATCTTTAATTGCCAGGTCCTCTGTCCTGCACCACTTACAAGTGGAAACAAGGCTGTCCAGGCAAAATTCCCTGAATACCACTCCCTTGTTAGTGATACAGGACGAAGGGCCTGACAAGGACAACTGTCTAGTCATTCGGATGAGACGAAAAACCGAGGTCCCCTTTTACACATTGGCATGCGCGTAAAAGTCCCCTGGACAGTTGGAATTCGATATAAGAGTAGACCGGAGTGTTGCTGTCCGGGCAAGATTTCCCTCATAGCACACTGTATGGCGTATGGCCGTCTTCATTAACCCAGTTGGTGCAGAACAGTAGGACGTTAATTCATATTATTTATAATTATATATAATTATTATGTTTTGTAGGAAAGGTGATCGTATTTATCATCAATTAAGGAGATTAGGAGGATCGTTTGATTGGGATAGAGCCTGTTTTACCATGGATCCTGTGAGTATATTCACTGTATTACAGCTAATGTTTTAACCACATTGGTCCATATAAGATCATTTCCTGACATTGTGGTAACATTGATCGTTTTAGTTTTTAATCCTTTTTTTTTTTTTTTTTTAAGAAATTATGTAAAGCTGTAACAGAAGCGTTTGTCAGATTACATGATATGGGTCTAATATATCGAAGTGTACGATTGGTCAATTGGTCCTGTGCCTTGAATTCAGCTATTTCAGATATTGAAGTAAGTTTACTATAAATTTTCTATAAAAATGCCAAAGTTAGATTTGTCGTTGATTCCATAAAGTAGTCAGGGTTTTAAACGTTAAATGTTGTGTAATTCAACATGGCGCCCGAGAGGTTTGATATATATAGGTACGAATTAGTATCAAATAGTTTATTTATATGAGAGTCAAGAGTTCAATATGACCGAAACTAGTCATGGACCCTCGGGATAACGAGGTCTTCAAGACACTACATGAAGGGGGAGGGGGGATGGCTGAATGGTTAACGCGTTGGCGCTGCATCATAAGTTCTGTCATTTAGTCAAGTGGCATGGTTTGCGATTCCCCGGTTGTACGTGGGTTTTCTCCGGGTCCTCTGGTTTCCTCCTACTGCAAAATACCCCTACGCGCAAGCGAATTATTGAAATAAAGTTCAACCATATGTTCGTCCTGAAATGACCTAGTTTGTTTTGTGGATGTTAAACCCCAAATAATATAGATTAACCCTTTAAATAGTTGCTAAAATTTTGCTCCATTTAAAGATTTTGGATGGTTTTAAAGTAGCTTAGTCTCTTAACTCAGTATCATCCAAAGTCTTTGACATTGAAAACACAAATTATTTGTCAATTTAAATCAACATTCATGTTGTGATCTTACTGGGAAAAGATGATCTTCTGATTTCCATTATCTAAGATAAAATAAACATTTTACCGTGGGTACAGGAATCGTGTACCATAATGCGTTTTATCGCCATCTGTAACAAGGGACTCGAAGAACGAGGCTAGACCTATTCCACAAGCCATGTCAAACAGTGACACCATATTCTTATCTGGAGAGCAGGCACAATAAATACTATTGATGTAGACTGGAATAACTAGACACTACAGATTGCCATTCGATTAAGACTTTTGGCTTATTTCGCTGAACATAACTGATTTGAAATTAGAGTAAAAATGGAAACGATTGAATGTAAATCAGTTTATATACATTCATATTATATGCGTTGCGACCCAGTTGTGTTAATTTCTAGGTCCCAAATATTAGCGATTTAGCTCCTTTAAGCATGCATTCATTATGCAAGAGCTAAATCTGCCTATTGCAGCTCTTTCTTTAGGCCTGAAATGTTTTCTAAATTATTAATTAACTTATCCAGCCCATAATCAACTCTTAATGGCATTGGATTTCTCCAATATTAAATAGATTAGAACAGTTCAGCCATATTTTGATTTAAGCTAAAAATGGAGAAACAAGACTTAGCTTCGAACAACCAGTACGGTGGTTGAAATTATTGCATGCGTCTTGTCAAACCTTCAAAGGTTATTATCTTCGCTCGCAATAGAGTAATTTGAATGAAATTTTTAAATTATTCATTTTACATTATCTATTTTCAAACTATTATAGCAAGAATGGCTAGCTCTTTATCTAAATCTTACATAATGTTAATTCTTCATTATATATGGAAATTTTTAATAGAATTTGTATAAATTTTGAGAATATGAATAATATTAGGATTGGTTTTGAAGACTTGAGAGTTTTTATTATTCATATACTATTTTAGGTAGATAAAAAGGAATTAGAAGGAAGAACATTTTTACCTGTACCTGGTTATAAAGATAAAGTAGAATTTGGTGTTCTGGTATCATTCGCTTATCCTGTAGAAAATTCAGGTAAAATAAAATTAATTGTTTCATTGATTACCATTTTTTTACAGACTTGATTTTAAACCCTCTCTCTCTCTCTCTCTCTCTTTTTCTCTCTCTCTTTTCGATTTATTATTTTCTCCTGGAGTGTTTTATTATGTTGAACAGTTTATACTGATTGTTTATTTCAGAGGACCGTATTATCGTAGCTACAACGCGTATTGAGACTATGTTAGGTGATACAGCTGTAGCTGTTCATCCAAATGATGAGCGTTATAAACATCTTCATGGCAAATCTGTTCAACATCCGTTCTTTGATAGAAAGATGCCCATTGTTTGTGATGATTTCGTAGATATGAGTTTCGGAACAGGTAAGATTTTTTAAGAGAAGAAAATGCCAATCTGATTAAAACACAGATCCTATTTCGTTTTGTTTTTTATAGTTCAAAATTTTGATTTACTTGTCATTACTACACTAGGATCTTGAAGAGTTGTTATATTACCGGTGTTCGGGATGATGTGAGGGATAAGCCAGAGAAACGATCTGTTACGGCGAGTTCATGGCATGCGATGCACAGAACTGTGGATAAACCACTAGAAATGTCACTGGTGATTGATTAATCAATGTCTGATGTCATAGGGTCAAAAGCCGCTTGTACGACCCCTGGCGCGACCTTCCAGTACAACCTGTCAGATCTTCATGTAGTGTAGGCCATCGAAAGTATAAAAAAAAAAACAAAGCGAAATATAGATCTGTATGAATAAACAAGGTCCCATGTACACATTGACGTGCACGTGAAAGAACCCTTGACAGTTGCGATTCGATGTAAGTGTAGTCATAGTGCCACTGTCCCTGCAAAATTCCCCTTATAGCAGACTGTATGGTGTATGTTCGTCTTCATTGGCCCAGTCAGTGCAGAACATTTGAAACGTGTTTAAAGTTGTTATATAAGCATGTATTGTTATATTTCGGATCCTGGCGTGTTACATATTACATGTGGGTGAAAAGGAAAACCCATTCTCCAAGTTAGAATTCCAAATCTCTTACCTTTATTACTGAAAAAGGCAGACAACTTGTGTCGACTTAAATATAAGGTTCAGACCACAATGATACAGAATATACCACAATAAGACAGTATATTTATATCTACAGGTGCTGTGAAGATAACTCCAGCTCATGATCAGAATGATTACGATGTAGGAATGAGACTTAAGCTACCTTTCCTTACTATTATTGATGAGAAAGGAAATATAACTGAAGATTGTGGCCAATTTGCTGTAAGTTTATTTAAGATTAACGACTTGCAATTCGATTTGTGCTCAAAAATACAAACTGTTCTTAATTCATATTTTATTCTCATTCTGATCCTCAAATTCTCATTACTTTCCTTTCCACCAGTTAAGATCATCTGGTAAGAGTTTACTTATGATATCTTTGACAACCTACCTCAATGTGTGGTGAGCGTGCATAGTACTTGACTGTTTCCACCATTTGCAACTATCTACCATGAAGTGTTAATAACAGTGAAAATATACTGACTTTTACACAGACTTTATTGTCCCCCGCCTTTAGAAGAAAGCAGGGGACTATTAAAATGGGTTCATTCGTCTGTCTGTCTGTTACACTTTTTGGGACACAATAACTCTCAGCCTAATTGGGCTAGAATGTTCAAACTTGGTGTAGGTGTTTAGTAGGTCGATGCCTTGACGAAGTTCGAAGATGAGCATTTCGTGATTTTGGCGAGGGACATCAGCGTCACTGTTGACTTGTTATTGCTTGAGTAGCTTCTTGTTTGGAATTCCACCGCAATAATATGATAATTATTATCATCATCATCAGGTTCTTTGGGCACACTTTGTGTATTCTAGTGTGTTACAAATGAACATTAATTATTTTGTTGTCTTGAATCCACACAAAGAAGTATCTCCAGGTTTATATATTTACAGGGTATGAAAAGATTTGATGCGAGGAAAGCTGTATTACAAGCATTAAAAGATAAGGGTCTGTTTATAGAGATTAAAGATAATCCTATGGTTGTACCTATATGTAGGTGGGTAATATATGTAATTTATGTATTTCTGCTAGTTTGTTAACCATTGTAAATTTGGAATTACTCGGGCTAGAAATTGATTTGAATGTATTTTTAAGAATCATTTGTTTGTTTGTAACACTTCTCAAATATCAGAAAGTTATACTGCACACGAAATTTTACATTACTTTACAATAATAGATCATGCTCAATTTTACATTACTTTACAATAATAGATCATGCTCAATTTTACGTTACTTTACAATAATGAATCATGCTCAATTTGATGTTACTTTACAATAACAGATCATGCTCAATTTTACATTACTTTACAATAATGAATCATGCTCATAGTGACATTTATTTTGTTATCACTCTAAATCGTAGGTGACAAATTATTGAAATGTTATTATTAAGTTGACTTGTTTGTTTGAATTATTACAGTCGATCTAAAGATGTTATAGAACCATTATTAAAACCTCAATGGTATGTAGATATGAAAGATATGTCTAAAGATGCTGTTGATGTAAGTATTGTTTTATATATTTGACTATTCTTACAGGCAACATACAAGCGTGGGATCAAACCCACAACAATTGCATAGATAACTGACCACCACACCACCACCATCACTATTTATAAGAGCCCTTGATTAATCCACCCAGAGCTTCTCCTTTGGATGAATTTCACCTTGGGTGCTTCCCTGCAAAGACATCGTGTCTTAGCCCCCAAAAAGTTGGACCAAGCCTATTTTTGTGGCTTCCTCTAGCAAAGTTGTTAGGAAACACTTGTCTATGATATCACTCTTGGTGGAAGTGGGCGTAAAACTCCACGAACGAACAAACTTGATTAATCAATTGACATACTATTGTTTAACTTATATCTGAATTCAACCCCTACCTGACTATTGATGAACTGGTAGTCAACATAATTAAATAATAATTCGAAATACATTTGTCTTTATCAGTGGTATTTAATAAATATGTCTATTATAGGCTGTTAAAAATGGTGATCTCAAATTGATTCCAGAAATGCACAATAAAACATGGTACAGTTGGTTAGAAAATTCCAGGTAATTTCAATACTTCTGTATTATTTGGGAATAATTTTGATTATAAAATGTTAATTGTGTCTTAAAGTAGCTAAGTCTCTAACTCAATATCATCCAAAATCTTCAACATTTAAAACACGATTTATTTGTCAATTTAAAACAACATTGATGCTGTGATCTTACCGGAAAAAGATGGGCTTTTGATATCCAATATTTAAGACAAAATAAACATTTTACCATTGGTACACGAATCGTGTACCATAATGCGCTTCAGCCCCAGTTGTATCAAGAGACTCGAGGGACGAGGCTAGACACATTGCACCAAATCAAACGGCGTATGTAGACTGGATTAACCAGACGCTAGAAATTTGCACTCGCTTGAGACTGCTGGCTTATTTCGTCGAACATAACTGATTCGAAATTGGAGTAAAAATGGAAACCATTGAATGTAAATCAGTTTATATACATTCATACTACAGTATTATATGTGTTGTGACCTACTTTTGTCAATTTCTAGGTCCCAAATGTTAGTGATTTAGCTCCTTTAAATATTGGATGTTAGGATCCTGTTTCACGGCAAGATAACAACACTAATATTGATTGAAATCGGCAATACTATATACCGGAAAACACCATTTTATACTGAATACCGGGATACCGGAAAAACACTAAATACCGTAAAACACTAAATACAGGAAAATACCCTAAATAGGTAACCCGGAGGTTAGTTTCCAGTTTATAGTATAGCCCTTCTCCGGGTTACCTATTTAGGGTGGTTTCCGGTATTTAGTGTGTTTTCCGGTATTTAGTGTTTTTCCGGTGTTTTCTGGTATTCAGTATAACATGGTGTTTTCCGGTTGTTTTCCGGTATATAGTATAGCCCGATTGAAATTGATCAATATTGAATTCTAATTCGTGTTTTTAATATTATGGAAAATATTGAGTTAGAGACTTAGGTCCTTTAAATATGAAAAATAATAAAAAGATAAAATAGAAACAAATATCATTATTTTTACAGCGCATTAATACTAAAGAACAGTTTCTAATGCTGTGTTGGTTGTTATATTCACTGATTATTTACGGATCAGGGTTTTAAAACAAGAATGTTTTCAGTTGATATTTAACTGTATATATTTGTAGAGATTGGTGTATATCACGTCAACTATGGTGGGGACATCGTGTTCCAGCTTATTTTATAAATATAGATGATCCTAACATTCCTAAAGGAACTGTAAGTACATTGTATATAACATAAGTTTATTGTGTGTTATGTCCATGGGTTTGTCTTGTGTATGTGTTGTGTTGTGGGCCTCCTGCTCTTACTATTGTAAAAGAACGCTTGACAATTAGAATTCAATTGGTGTATGTGTAAAATTTCCCTCATAGCACACTGTATGGCGTATACCTGTCTTGATTAGCCCAGTATAAGCAGAACAGTATTACGTTTAAACTCATTTCATTTCTTTGTATTATTTGCGTATTGTAGGATTCTGATGGTAGTTATTGGGTGAGTGCCAGATCTAAAGAAGAGGCTTTACAAAAAGCTGCTGACAAATTCAAAGTTTCGAAAGATAAGATAAAACTCTCTCAAGGTAAATACATGTTTATGTATATATTAAATACCTGAACTAAAAATTACTCTAGATTTGAAAATAACTACATATTCTACTCTCTAGATTTGAATATAACTACATATTATACTCTCTAGATTTGAACATAACTAAATATTATGCTCTCTAGATTTGAAATCGACTAAAAATCACACTCTCTAGATTTGAAGATAACTAAATGTTTCACTCTCTAGATTTGAATATAGCTAAAAATTACACTCTCTAGATTGAACATAACTAAAAATTACACTCTCTAGATTTGAATATAGCTAAAAATTACACTCTCTAGATTTGAATATAGCTAAAAATTACACTCTCTAGATTGAACATAACTAAAAATTACACTCTCTAGATTTGAACATAGCTAAAAATTACACTCTAGATTTGAACATAGCTAAAAATTACACTCTAGATTTGAAATCAACTAAAAAATTACACTCTCTACAAATTCAGATATAATAATGAAGAAAATGACAAGAATATACTTAGAAAATGACATGTACCTATAAAATGTTTTATTGTTGTATTTATTAATAGATGAGGATGTATTAGATACGTGGTTCTCTTCAGGGTTATTTCCCTTTTCTATATTTGGTTGGCCAGACCAGGTAAGTAAAGTTTTCTGGGATTGACAATTTATAAAACTGTTTATTTTTATGTAAAATTTCTGTATATCAAGTGAAGTCCTTCTTAATCACAATATTAGAACAAAATATAATTTGGTTAAGATTAAACAAATTGAGGAAGTGGCATGTAGGGGTCAGCTAACTTAGTTAACAATATATCATTAATTTCAGACACCAGATCTAGAAGCATTTTATCCTGGAGCTTTGTTAGAAACTGGTCATGATATTCTATTCTTCTGGGTAGCTAGAATGGTTATCTGTGGTCAGAAACTCATGGGTAAACTTCCATTTAAAGAGGTAAGATTAAAAGTCATAATGGGGCTTCACATAGTTGTACAGGGTGAAGATAAAGGAGAGTGAGAGAAATGGAGGAATGGGGTGTAACCTCCACTCAACATAAATTAGGTCATTTTGGGAATAACATTGTTTGATTTTATTTCAATAAATCACTGGCGCGTAGGTGTCTTTAGCAATGGAATGAAACCGGAGGACCAGAAGAAAACCCACACGACCCTATTCCTTGTCACATACAAGCGGAAAATCATAATCATGTCACTTTACTCAATGACAGAGAGAGAGAGAGAAATAGGTTTTAACGTCACTCGATATGAACTAGGTCATTTCGAGACTAACACATGATTTTATTTCAGTTCAAAAATTCGCTTGCGCTTAGGGGTTTAGCAGTGGGAGGAAACTGGTGGACCCAGAGAAAACCCACGTGCTTGGACAGGCGATCCTAATCCTTGTCACGTACAACCAGGGAATTGAAACCACACCAATTGACTTAATAACAGACCTTATGATGTAACATTCATCGAGAATAAATATAAGACTTTCAATATTTGATGCAGATCTGACCAGTTTTATTCACTACTCCGTTAATTTATTTTCTAAAAATTTAATTCACAAATATGTAGTTTTATATATCCCATATGTGATCAGTTGTTTGTTAGAAAATTTTGGTAATGGTATGCTTGTCAAAGTTTTGATATTTCCAACAGCCGTAAGTGTCATTGCCTCAGCCCTTATTTACTGTTTATTAAGAGTACATGAACTGGCTGAAAAGGAAATTGTTGGGAGTCAGGTGTTTGGGTCTGAACATTAATTAGAATTTTGTTTGTTTTTATTTTTAGGTATATTTACATGCTATGGTCCGAGATGCACATGGAAGAAAGATGAGTAAATCTCTAGGAAATGTAATTGATCCATTAGATGTGATACAAGGAATAACATTACCTGTAAGTACATGTGGTTATATCAAATAGTTTTTGTCTCTTGTACATGACTTTGATATTGAGTAATGGTTTTAGTCATTAATATTTTTACACCTAATTCCTAAAAAGCAGTATACAGTGGAACATGTTGTTTGTTACTAATATACGATACCGAAGCAGTTTTTGTCCATCCACAGTATAGGTCATGAAGAATCTTTGAAATTTTTCAAGCTTGGTTTTCACTCAGCTGATATAAAGATTGTGGGAAGTTTTCTTAGTTTGAGGCACAAAAACAGAGGAATGTGATTGAATTGGAAGAAATGAAATATAATGAAATGTGGTTTAACGTTCTACTGTTCTACTCGTACTGGGTTAATGAAGACGGGCAGTTGGAAGAAAAGTATGAGGAAACAAGGTCGCCCAAGCTAAATTCCATAACCGTAATAAATTAGGATAATTGTATGTTATTCTCATAAAAGGATCTAAGAAAACTGTGAAATATATGTATCTGGATTTTACTTTACAGGAATTACAACAGAGGTTAGAAGATGGTAATTTAGATCAGAAAGAAATGGAGAAAGCGAAACTAGGACAGAAGAAAGACTATCCTAGTGGTATACCAGAATGTGGAACGGATGCATTAAGATTTGCTCTAGTAGCTTATACGTCACAAGGTCGTGATATTAACCTGGATGTTCTTAGAGTTCAAGGTTATCGGTTCTTCTGCAATAAATTATGGAATGCGACCAAATTTGCTTTACTCAGTCTGGGAGAAGATTTTAAACCAACAGAATGTTTTAAGGTTTGTATGTTCTATGTATTGATATATTCTAGGTACATGTAAAAAATACTATTTTACTATCGAAATGTCCTAGGTTGGTGACTAAATAATCTAAAACATACCATTACAAGATATAGGGGGGAGTCGGGAGGCTGAATGGTTAACACGTGCGTGTTTGATTGTAAGGCCTTTCATTGAGTCGTCGCCTGTCCAACCTTGTGGGTTTTCTCCGGGTCCTCCGGTTTTCTCCCACTGCTAAAGAACCCTACGCGCAAGCAAATTATTGAAATAAAATTAAATATGTTAGTCCCGAAATGAACTTGTTTGTGTCAAGTGGACTAATATATGGTTCAATTTTATTTCAATAATTCGCTTGCGCTTAGGGGGTCTTTAACAGTGAGAGGTAACCGGAAGACCCAGAGAAAACCCACAAGGTTCGACAGACGACCCTACCCCTTGTCACGTATAACCGGGGAATCGAAACCATGTCAGTTGACTCAATGACAGACCTTATGATCCAACCCCCCTTAAACATTATACTTTGTTTAACCCGTTAAGCGTAACTTTTTTAAAACGTTAACTACCCCCTATTGTGTAATTCATTTGACGAAGTGACGAAGAACTATGTACTATGTTCTAAGAATAGAATGTTCTGGGGAATATACCTCCAAGGCGTTATATTATGCCCTACACACAGTAAGTGGCAGTTGTCCAGGACGTTATATAACGACCTACGCACTTAACGGGTTAATCATAAAGATGGTACTGCAAATGATGATTTAATCACACTTAAACCATTTTATTTGACAATTATATATTTTTTTTTATCTGATAGTTAAATGGTAAAGAAGGTGAAATGGATAAATGGATATTAAGTCGATTATCATTAGCTGTAGAATTATGTACAAATGGTTTTGCTAGTTATGATTTCCCCGCTGTAACAACTGGCTGCTATAACTTCTGGTTATATGAACTCTGTGATTGGTACTTGGTGAGTACATCTTAAAGGGGGGAGGAGGCTACCCGAAAATTTTTATTCTGAAATTTTAAAGCTATTGAATTGAAAATGATACAAGTAGTTAGGAAATGTAATAAAGAAGGGAAAACTAACTTTTAAAAAATGTTGTTGCCAGGGTAACCCATTTGGGGGGGGGGGGGTATGAAAAGTGTAGGTACACTATATCTTTGTAACTTATTAAGATATCTTCACCAAATTTGCAGGATATATAAACAAATATCTACCCCCATATCAGACAGAACGCGATTTGAATTATCATTAATATTTCAAAAGTTATCAAAATATTTCTCAAAAGACAAAATATTGTTTTAAACACCATTTTCCAAGAAACTATGAAAATTATAGAGAAAAACTCTCTGTCTAATTTTAGGGTTATCATTAAAGAATAAGCAGTCCGAGAATGAGACATTTATCTTTATTAGTGCCAGAGATGTGGTGTACCAATGTTTTTCATACTTTTTCCCCCACAATGTTAGTTTTCCCTTGTTTATTACATTTCCTAACTACTTGTGCCATTTTCAATTCAATAGCTATAGAATTTAAGAACACATTTTTCGGGTAGCCTCACTCCTTAACATTTTAATTATTTTTATTTTACAAGTAATCCTCAGCATGAAACAATTAGAAATATGTTTCGAGTGAATGAAGTACTTTAGCTGAAACAAATTAACACATTTGCCCAAAATAAGTTTCAAGTGAATAAACTTTTGTTAAATCAAATTAGCACACTTGCCCAAAATATGTTTCATATGAATTGCCCAAAATATGTTCCATGTGAATGAACTACTTTAGTTGAAACAAATTAACACATTTTCCCAAAATAAGTTTCAATTGAATGAACTATTTTGGTTAAATCAAATTAACACATTTGTTCAAAATATGTTTCAATTGTTTGAACTATTTTGGTTGAAACAAATTAACACATTTGGTCACAATATGTTTTAAGTGAAGAAACTGGTGCAGCACCATGGGCTTTCTGTCAGACGTGGAGAGCGGGTGATCCTAAACCGGTTGCCACCTCCGCCGTATGACCCATGCATCTTTTCTTACTACATACCTTAGTAGCCTTGTGATCGTCTAGAATTCGTCTCTAGCTGTCTTTGTTCCCCTTCGCGTTGTGTATTTACTTCTTACTATCCATCTCAGGTAGTTAAGACGTTTGTCTTACCAGGAATAACAATGCAACAGTTCGTTTTTACATTTTATATATCATAGCTGCTTACATATGGTACAATGCATAATAGAATAAAGTCATTCTCTCAAACCTCATCCAGCCAGAGTGGCTGGGCGAGTCTGCTGATAGAAATTGCTACATCTTTTCCCTTCTGGAATCAAGCCGCTGTCTAGCGAATTCTCACAAGTATGATAGTTTTGTAGCTTTGGGTTTTGGACCTTCAATTATCTAATTGGTCAAATATGATGTAAATAAGTATAGAGATTGGTTAAACAAGCCAAATGATGCAATCGTGAATTTCCTATGTAATACATGATATTCTTATTCCCACAGAACCAGCTAATGTTTACCAAATTATAACTCTTTTTTTATTTAACCATCTGTCACTCATTCGCTAACTTGATTTAAGTACAAATACTACATATATGTGAATCTAATAACTTGCCAAAGATATTAATTAATACAATATAATGCCATCATTAATTTCAAGAGCAAAAATTCTACAAAAAGTGTTACACTGGTTTGGTTAAATCAAATTAACACATTTTCCCAAAATATATTTTGAGTGAATGAACTATTTTGGTTGAAACAAATTAACACATTTTCCCAAAATATGTTTCAAATGATTGAACTACTTTGGTTAAATAGAGAATGTTCTACAAGTCTTTTTTGATATCAAAAAAATATCAACAAAAGTTGATATAGTAAAAAAAATGAGGCTCTGGTTAGCGCATGTGCATTGTATCATAAGGTCTGTCATTGAATCAATTGACATGGTTTCGAATATATGAAACTTATTATAATATATTTTTCAGGAATATATGAAACCTATTATATATATTTTAGGAATATATGAAACTTATAATATATTTTTCAGGAATATATGAAACCTATTATATACGGTAAAGATGAAGAAGCGAAAACAATATGTCGTAATGTGCTTTATACATGTCTCGATGTTGGACTTCGTTTGTTACATCCCATGATGCCTTTTGTTACAGAGGAATTATTTCAGCGGTTACCAAGGAGACATGCTAATGAACCACCTAGTATATGTGTGACACCTTATCCAGCACAGAAAGATGTAAGATTCGATATTGTTCATTGTATCTGGGTCGTTCGGATGGGACAAAAAAACAAAACAAGGTCCTGTGTATTCATTGGGTGCACGTAATAGATCCCTTGGCAGTTGGAATTCGATTTAAGAGTAGGCCATAGTGCCAATGCCCGGGCAAAATTTCCCTCGTTAACCCAGTCGGAGCAGAACAGTAGGACGTTAAACCCCATTTCATTTCATTTCATTTTTATTAAAAAATAGATCAGTCCAAATTCAGGGGTTTCGATTCCCCAGTTGTAGAGTAGAGTCATCTGTCCTACCTTGTGGGTTTTTCCGGATCCTCCGGTTTCCTCCCACTGCTAATAAGGCGAACGAATTATTGGAATAAAATTGAACCACATGTGATTCCCGAAATGACCTAGTTTGTGTTGAGTGGATGTTAAACCCCATATCTCTCTCTCTCTGTCTCTCCATTTGATTTCTTTTTGTGTGATTTCAGTTCCAGTTACGTAATATAGAATTAGAGTCTAATGTAGAATTTACACAGAATGTTGTGAAAAGTTTACGATCAATGAGAGCTGATTATAATCTTACAAATAAACAGAAAGCTGATGGTAAGTTTTCTTAGTATTCTTTACAGTAGTATGCAGGGGAACTTGAGTCCTGTGACTCGCTCTCGGGTCCGACTTAAATCACATCAATGACCCGACTTGCGACTTGACTTGAAATATTTATTGCGACTGGAGACAAGGGGGCATAACTCTAACTTAGCTTATTTCCCATGAATTGCTGACTCTTGATGAACTGGCAACTTGAAAGAGACTCTGGCTTTGTGAAGATTTGGGACTCGACTCGGACTCGACATGCGTGACTAGGAAGTTAGGAACACGACTCATGCTCGAGGTCCCGCAACTTGTTCCCACCTCTAGCAGACAAAGGGGGCTTTGGCATCAATTTAATTGGGTCATCCAATCAAAGAATGAAATTTTTTTACATTTGAAATTATTGCTGTTAACTTATTGTACAAGCTACCCTACTTAATTTGAATAAAAAGTTTATTTCGCCATCTGTTAAACCCTATTTCATTCATTTTCTCTATTTGATGACTTTATATTTCAGTGTATTTAAAATGTTCTGACGATAGTACAGGTAATTTATTAAAGAATTTTGTTGATGTGATAGAATCATCAACTAATGCTAATACTGTTCATATAATAACAACAGATTCACCACCAGTAGGATGTGCTATGTCTACTGTCTCAACTAAATGTGAAACACATCTCATGCTCAAGGTAATATATGCAGAACATTTTTTTTTTCAAATTGCCTTGTCAATATAGTAAACGAAAAATTATACTTTTTTAAAAAAAAATAATTAATTTTTTATATACGTACAGGGTTTAATAGATGTTCCGAAAGAAATCTCGAAATTAGAAGGTAAAAAAGATTCTCTAGGTAAACAGTTGACCAGACTTCAAGAATCCACGAAAAAACCTGATTACTCAACTAAGGTACCAGAAGATGTCCGTCAACAAAACTCAGAGAAGGTAATTAAGTCTTCTAAACAAAAAGCTACTCTGTGCAGAAATAGGAAGTTAAAATCCAAATATTATACTCAAGCACTGCTAGTCATAAACAATCCTCTCACCCCCCCCCACCCCCCACTGATAACCATTTGGGTTATTTTGAATCCCTTGCAAGCTACAATACTATGGAAATTAAATCTCTGAAAGGAATATCTGACCAAAAATGGTTCTATTCCATTCAGTATTTACAAAGTTATGATAAAATGAAAATTTGTCAACAATTGGCATCTTTGATATTTTGGTTTTGTTTTCCTAATTTTAAGTAAAAGTATTAAATAGTCAATCTGAATACATTTTAGCATGTATTAAGTCATGTAACATCATTTATGGTAAAAAAAAATGGAAATGGCTATCGGCAGCTTTTGACAGGAATATCTTTTTTTTTGTATTTTCAGATGACAGAATTATCAACAGAAATAGAAAAATTGTCAACAGCTTTATCAACATTACTGACCCTAGAATCCTGAATAGACTGACCCTAGAATCCTGAATATACTGACCCTAGAATCCTGAATATACTGACCCTAGAATCCTGAATAGACTGACCCTAGAATCCTGAATATACTGACCCCAGAATCCTGAATATACTGACCCTAGAATCCTGAATATAATATACTACTATATACTCACTGATTTATTTCGAAGTCTGGTATATATGTTGATATTTAAATTGAACATTTGATTTTGAAAATTATAAATCTGAATTTATTTTAAAATTGAATAATTTGTATTTTAAACTAATGATAGTTGGCAGATCGGGACTTGTTAAAGATGCATTACGTAAGATTTAGATAAAGAGCTGGCCGTTCTTGCTATAATAGATACCTGATGAAAAATGCATATTTTGAAAGTTTTCTTCAAATTACTTTATTCTGGGAGAAGTTAAGACTGTTTGAAAATGTAGCGTAGATCATTTATTATTGTAGAAACTTCGTTTCGCTTATTCATTTTATCGTTAAATTTAAAAATTTACCTTTTATATAATGCATCTTTAAAAGGACTGATAAAATACTAATCATGTTGGTTATGTGTTCCATTTAAAATATTGTGTAGTAAAAATCAGGGCTCTGTTCTCAGTCATATTTTCCAGTGATATTGACCAACTTGGGAACATACCTCTCAATCATTTTACATGCTATAAAATAAGAATTTAAGAGAATTTAACCTTAATATCATGATAAATACAGTTAAATTTATAATAATGGATGTATTATTATTATTATATTATTAAAATGATATTTATACAGCGCTCATCTTCCACCACAGAGCAATGTATGTGTAAAATCACATAAAAATATATTATAAATTGCTAATAATTGTGATGTTTTTTGCAAATAATATTTTGCCAATCTGAGGTAAACAAAATGCACCAGAAATTGACCGACTGACGAAAGTTGAAATGAAAGCCCTTTGTTAAACCTTATTCAAGTTATGTATAGAAAAGATACCTGAATCTTCAAATCTGAAATGTTCTCTGAAAAATATTGTTGAATTGTGTTCATTAAAACCTACAGCAATCTGCTAGAATCTGAAATAAACTGTACATGTGTAGTTATACTTAATATCATTTAATTAAATTCGAGATTTTTATTGCCAGCTTTTATTCACATATATATATATATAACTATATAATAAGTCATCTTTTGTTTTTCATTATATTTGTTGTATTAAGAACATCAATTATTGTTTCATTTATTGTTTTTGTTTAATAAAGTCAAGTCATAATGAACGAATATATTTAAACACATCTGGAAATAAAGCACAATATTTTCAAAAACATAAATTCAATAAAATAGTTCTAGAAACATGTTGAGTACGAGTTCTGATATTTTGGATGGGGTTGTATGGCTGAATGGTTAGTGCGTGCGCATTGTATCATAAAGTCTGTCATTGACTCAACTGGCGTGGTTTCGATTTCCCGGTTGTACGTGACAAGGAGTAGGGTCGCCCGTCCAACCTCATGGGTTTTCTCCGGGTCCTCCTATTTCCTCCCACTGCTAAAGACCCCAACACGCAAGCGAATTATTGAAATAAAATTAAACCATATGCTAGTCCCTAAATGACCTAGTTTGTGTCGAGTGGACGTTAAACCCCATTTCTTTTTCTCTCTCTCTTAGATTGTTGATTTTGTAAAAATGGTTCGGATACAGATTGAATATGTTTATAAATGAATACCTTAAGTTGACTTTTGTTTAGCATTAATATTATAGAGATGATCATTTGCAATAAACCGTGCTACTTTTTGAAATTTTGAATTTTTCTTTATTATAGGATTGAGATCTTAACTTTTAAGGCTTTTGATCCTAGAATAGCAATAGTCATCCACTACTTGGTGGGTTGGGTGGCCAAATGGTTTGTCATCGAGTTAAGTGGCATAGTTCTGATTCTCCATATATACATGACAAGGAGTGGGGTCGCCTGTCCAGTTTCCTCCCACTGCTAAAGACAAGCAAATGATTGAAATAAAATTGATCAATATGTTAATCCCGAAATGACCTAGTTTGTGTTGAGTGGACGTTAAACCCCATTTCTCTCTCTCTTTCATCTACTACTTAAAATACTTTAAACTGACAGATAAGACGAGTAGCTACAATACGAGAGGATAGCATGATTAAGGGTGTGGATACATGTGGTAAGTAACATTGTACTGTTTCGGTGACAATATGATGAACGTGGGTGTGAAATAGGTTTTTTTAATGGCCGCTTCGACCAAAGTTATATCGCAGACAATGACCTTGTAGGAATCTCACTCACCTTTAGTAGTCAGAGCCATAATCATGTATAGAGTCTGGCTAGCTATTGTCTCAATTTGTGATAGGTATTAAATGGTTTTTTTCTTCTAGTTTTAGTTCTATGTAATTACAGGTTATTACAGTTCCTGCTTCTTAACCCAATATATCTTATACAGAACTATCATTCCGTTTGTTTTAATACTGTATTGATCTATTAAATTTACAGATTTAGTAACAGAATGACTACCAAGGTCACAGTTGGCCAGAATCTCTTTATATGTGGGGGCTAGGTGAGCATAAAATCATAAGGTCTGTCATTGCGTCAAGTGGTGTGGTTTCGAGGAGTAAGGTCGCTGTCCAACTTCATGGGGTTTCTCTGGGTCTTCCAGTTTCCACCTACTGCTAAAGACCCCTATGCGCAAGAGAATTATTGAAATAAAATTGAACCATATGTTAGTCCCGAAGTGCCCTAGTTTGTGTCAAGTGGACATTAAACCCCATCTCTCCCTCTCTCTGGTGTTTTAAATTTGTTCCAGCCCGGCTTATGAAGATGGTGTGTCATTTGTACTTGAAATCATGGGATATAGTAATTGACAACAAACTGATTAATTAAGTTTTCATTTCTAATGCATAAATCCGATACAGAAACACAGTCTCATTGTAAATAAACTAGGGTTGACTGGCAATTCATGTTATTTCACTTCAAGTTTATTCTACACATTATCATGTTATAAAAAATTGAAAAGATGAAGAAACAGATAATAAAAATTTATTTATAAATAGAACATGGAACTATTTTTAATATCAAATTTATATAAATGAACAATTACAATCCTTAATCAAATAAAACTTTTTTCTAAAAAAATTGTTAATAAATATTAAAAAATTGTTAATAAATATTGTATTAAAAAATGTTCAATCTGGTTAAAACACAGATCCTATTTCGTTTCATTTTTTATAGTTTAAAATTTTGTTTTACTTGTCTTTACTACACTAGGATCTGGAAGAGTTGTTACCATTGTCTGTTCTGGATAGTGTTAGGGATTAGCCAATGAAACGGTCTGTTACGGCGAACTTTAGGCATGTTTTGCACGGAACTGTGGATAATCCATTAGAAACATCAATGCTGATTGGTTAATGAAATGTCTGACGTCATAGGGTCAAAAGCCGCTCGTATGACCTGTGACGCGACCTATCGCTACAACTTGTCAGATCTTCATGTAGTGTAGGCCATCGAAGGTAAAAGAAAATGTTTTAAAATCTCTAAAATTCCACAATGAAAAAAATTCAATTCTTAATTAAATAAAACATATTTTAAAGATAAAACTGGATTAACATGCATTTTCAATCATACAAATAAATATATATCCATTCAAGAACATTTACTAAAAGTTTATTATAAATATAACATCAAAATATGTTAATCTCTAAAATAAATGCAATAAACGATTGCATTTCTAATTAAATATTGCAAGTATTTATCGGGTGGTTATTTCCAATAAAAGTATGGCAATTTTGGTATATATGGAAAGTAGAAATATCCAATCTTACTAGAAAAATACTGGATTCCCTGAAAAACACCCATGAAGCGCATAGAGAACAAAAATGTATGGTTTTCCCTAACCGGCAGCCCGACGATTACAAATGTCTGCTCGTGTGATGTCAATGTTGCACACAAAGATTGTCTGATCTCTCAGCGTTAGTGAGCGCTTGATGTACATGTTGATAAACTTGATGAAGAGCGTATATGTACAACAATTTCTGAGATAAAAACCACGGAAAAAGACCTGGGCAGTGGATAATCCAAGAATTTAATTAGGCTTCGATATTTATGATAAATGGATAGCGATTAAAGAAAACATTGTCTTGTATATGCAATGAATTTTCCTCCGGTTTTGCACCTGTTGCTAGGTACTGCGTCAGCCAAGTCATGTGACACAAACATGACTTCTTTTAATAGATTTCTTAAAAACAGTGTTTTGAGAAGGATTTGAAGCACAATTTTGATAGATGAATTAGTTTGAATATGTTTTTAGTCCAAATATATCATCAAATCACACAGTTTGTACGCGGGAAGGTATCTTTAAAGGATTTCAATTAATTAGTGCCAAACCCATTTAGCAAATTTAACAATCATTCGATTTAACAATCACCCAATTCAATACACATTTAACAGATTTAACAATCACTCCATAACAACCACCCAGTTCAATACACATTTAACAATCACTCCATAACAACCATCCAGTTCAATAACTATTTAACAAATTTAACAATCACTCCGCTCAATGCACATTTAACAGATTTAACAATCACTCGATATAACAATCACTAAATTAAAAATCACTCAGTTCAATACCCATTTAACAGATTTAACAATTACTCAAATTAATAATCACTCAGTTCAATACCCATTAAACAGATTTAACAATCACTGGAGTTAACAATCACTCAGTACAATACATATTTAACAGGTTAAATAAGTTTTCAACAAATTAAAATAGCAAAGGTCTTGTTTAAATCACAATTAAAGAATAATTATCACATTCATTCCAGCATCCAAATATAATACAATATGTTCTTTGTTAGAGTTTAGAAAATTTTCATCCATTTTCTAAGTGCAAAAATAATGACTCGCCGCTCACTGATCATCATGAACAGTCATTTAAAAACCAGCATGAGGACTGAATCAAACCAAAGCAGTAGGGCCTATATTAAACTAATTTCACTAAACATATTAAATTTGATGCTGGGACGAAAAATACTGAGGTGTATGTTAAACCATATGATAGTCCCAAAATGACCTAGTTTGTGTCGAGTGGAGTGGAGTTAAACCCCATCTCTCTCACTCTCTCTCTCTCTCTCTCTCGCTCTCTCTCTCTCTCTGCTGGGGTTAAACTCCATTTCATTTCATTTCATTTCTCTGCTGGGACAAACTACTGATTCTGGACAAGGTGTAGTAGGGTCAATATTGTAATGAGTGTTCAGTATGATCCACTAAATAAAACAGGAATATTATAAGGTTTATCAAGATAAATACAACAATGGCTGTCATCATAGAATCGAGACTTTCCTTCTCTTACATGCTGAAAATCATGTGGAGTAGCTGAGGAAGATTTTTCTATATCACAGATATCTAATAAGTCTATGGTAGTTTGTTTGGATTGTATTTTATCTGCTATACCAAGTGTCATATGAGCTGCTCTCCCACGTGACTTGGGACGAACTAAAGGGAAGAGTGTAGTTATTGCTGCTACGTCTTTACTTTCACTTTTCAAAGACAAGTTTTCTTTTGACTGAGATGAAGAAGTTTTTAATAATGAAATTCCCCTGATACATTCATCAAATTTTGCATTGGTATCAAATTGCTTTCTTGGAGGCACTGGTGGTTTCAAAGGAGATTGTTTGGGTGTTTTTCTAGGAGACACTGGGGATTTCAAAGGAGAATGTCTGGATGTTTTTCTTGGAGAGACTTGGGATTTCAATGGTGAAGAAGCCATATCTCGCTGTCTCTCCTCTGGATTATCAAATAACACGAGAGCTTCTTGTGGAAGATGAATTCGAGCACCCAGAGTTTTGTCAGTGATAATGAAGCCATATAGAGTTACTATGAATACTTTGCCATATGAGTTTTGTACATCTTCTCTCTGGTGGTATTCTTTCCCGCCCTCTGCGCGACCTTTACCAACATATCTTGACGTACAGTGTAGAATTTTTCTCTTCGGATGTTCTGGGAAATAATCCTTGATGAGATTTCCATCTGAAATAAGTATTATCAATAGATAAATATTGAAACCTGCCATATATTTCTTAGTAACAAGGGGGGTTGGATGGCTGAATGGTTAGCATGTGCGCGCTGTATCATAAGGTCTGTCATTGAGTCAACTGGCGTGGTTTTGATTCCCCGGTTGTACGTGACAAGGAGTAGGAGTAGGTTTCCTCCCACTGCTAAAGACCCCTACGTGCAGGCAAATTATGGAAATAAAATTGAACCATGTTAGTCCCGTAACGACCTAGTTTGTGTCGTGTGGACGTTAAACCCTAAAGTGTAAATATATATTTACCTGTATTGTCAGGACATAAAGTTTGTAGATGTTGTTTAAACAAGGGATATAACTCTAAACACTCTTTAAAATAATCTCTTCCCATAGATAACAACCTGACTGATAACTGTTCATTTACAAACCACCCGTAATAGAATGGAATAAAATCTTTAAATGAGTTAACTTTTCTTTGGATGGTGATTAAATCAACATCGTGTTTATTTCTTTGAGATAATTCTTTAGCGTCTAATTTCCATGGTGTCTTCGGGGATGCCACGATGTTAATATAGTTATAATTTGATGCTATATTGAAGTAGGGCTTGGCTTCCCAATAACGAACATTGGTGTTATCGATAATGACAACATTTCTGTTTTCAACACATGCTTTTTTAGCGATTTCTTTACAGTGTTCATGAGCAGACGATAATTTTTCCTGATCGAAACAGTAAATTCCGTCTTTCATGAAATAATTATCAGCGGAGCAAACAATACTATCATGATAAATTGACTGAAGATGTCGAACGAGCGTTGATTTTCCCGATCCAGATAGACCTCTTATTACAAACATAATTTTTGATTCCTTAATGAATTTAAGCGTCTGCTTATCTTCCGTAAAAGGAAATCTCATCCATTCTGCAATAATATTAGAATTTGCTGTCAACTGGGGTGTCGTTGAGGATTTGGCCATAATTTCTTGGACTTCTTTGCCATCCACAGTGTCAACCAATCTGTTTCTTGAAAAAAACTGAAAAAAAGAAAGAAATTTCATCATTAATCCATATAATGGTAGTCTTTGAACCTTAGAGGACGGAGGCCATCTTTATTTCTATTCATAAAATATATCTTACACCACTTGGATTAGAGAATTGAAGCTATTTCACACACAGTCGGTCTGTTTTGCTGGTCAAGAAAGCACCTCAGAATTTGACTATGTGGTTTCCCCTTGTCAGTGGTGCAGGAATCAGGTTCTAGCAAGGAACAGTGCCTAGACGTTTGGTCATATGTACACTTTCGGTTGCGAGTAAAAGAACCCATGACGAACAGAATTTTAAAATCAGACTAGGCTGTAGCGCCGCTGCCTGGGCAAAATTTCGCCCATACCACAGGCATAATGTTATGCCTGTCTTCATCTTTTTCATTTCCTACTTTGTTAAAGTTTTCCTATGGTTTATTGCAATATATCTATCCATCTGCAGTTAGCTAGCCATGCAATACGAACATGCAATATCATCTTTAAACCATATATTATATAAATATTAATCTTTGAGAGGCATTTAGTAACTGGATAGAGCAATAAACAATAACACATACTTATGGAAAAACAGCTACTTATTTATTTGGGTGATGTTTCGAAGAGTCAATGTTGAGAGAATACTCTTTGAAACGTCTTTTATCTTGGGATGAGTTGTCTTATATAGGGATGAGTTGTCTTGGAATGAGTTGTCTATATATCCATTAAACTACATTTCATTCTTTGATTCCCTTACTACATACCAGCGTATCATATATGTACATAGTGTTACAAAGTGACAGACATTTACATGTAATTTGATAATTTCAGTATTGATTTCTGATTTATTTTTAGATGCTAGAAAGACATTAAACATACATTATGCATGAGCTAAATCTGCTTATTGCAGGTCTTTCTTTAGGCCTGAAATGTTATCTAAAGTATTAATTAGACATTAATTAACCTATCCAGACCATAATCAGCTCTAGATGGCATCACTAGCCTGCGATCTTAAGTGGATTGTGAGCCGATTTACTGCATAACTTTCCTTCTCGATTAAACGATTAAATGGATAATCGAGACTATGCTGTTTATCGTACTGATTTTTGTAATGATGACCGAGGCTAGGCAGAAATTTCATTCGCTTAGTTCTCCGTTCATAGGGGATCAATTTGAAGGAAATTTTCAGCAAATTGCCTTTACGTTATCTAGTTTTTAATTATTATAGTGAGAACTGCCAACTCGTTATCGAATCTCCCATAATGTATCTTTAAGCCAATAGAGAACTGAATCTTTACTGTTTGTTGTTATTTAATGAGGACAGCCGTATTTATTAGAATTGTAATAACTATATTGTGTCCATCCCTAGAAAAATATCCTATAGAATATCACTGTGGGAGTATATGGCAATACCTCATTTTCTATACCGCAGTAGTTAAAATTCTACAATAATCTACGGAATTTTGTGAGTGTAGGGGGAGGGGGCAGGGCTTCTAGGAAGTACCCAAACCAAATATTCTACATTTTCTGAAGTGAGAGAGAGAAATGGGGTTTAACATCCACTCAACACAAACTAGGTCATTTGGGGGCAAACATATGGTTCAGTTTTATTTCATTATCTTGCATGCGGGTACAGACGGATCTTTAACAGTGGGAGGTAACCAGAGAACCCGGAGAAAGCCGATGACGTTGGACAGGCTACTCTACAACTCGTCATGCACAACTGGGGAATCGAAATCACCCCAGTTGACTCAATGACAGGCCTTAAGATACAATGCTCACGCGCTAACCATTCAGCCGTCCAACGCCCCCTGAATGACACTTAACAAGGGAAAACTTTTGGATCACCATAATCAATATCTTCAAAATTGTTTTTATCCACTGACGATATGAAGTGTTAGTTAATGCCTTTAATAGTAGGCCTACATGAATAAATGTAGCATAAAAGCCACAATAGGCTCCTACCTTTGAAATAGCCTTCGGTAAATTTAACCATCTGGGTCTTTGTGTAACACTTTTATTTTCTAATATTTGCATACTGTTGGAACTGTTGGTTGTCAATGACATCGGTTCTAATATTTTGTAGTTCACGGTAGACGACAGAATTATTTCTTCTGGGGAACAAGTCAAGTTAAATACTATAAAATGTGACAATGTCATACTTATGGCGGCTGTGGAAGACCCTGCTTATAGAAATAAAAACAATATTGCGTTTCTAGATGTTACAAATTACTTTCATTATAGCACTGAGTCTTGTCAAGACGTGAAATAATGATTAGGCCTAAATACTGTTACGATACCGCTAATCAACCTACTTAACTTGACCCACTTACAGGGAAGTAGCCAAGATTAACCAGGCGCACATTGAAAATAACGGTAAACCTATTTAGGTCGCGTTTCATAGCAGGGTTGGAACATGGCAGTATGCAAGGTTTTGCTTGCTTGATAAGCACGATGCCGATGTTGCGGTTTCAAACGGTAACAGATGTTGCTTGGTTCCATGCGTATGGAACTAGAGTGAAAATGCGTTTTGCTCTTCGATTTCTTTCCCCCTTTTCATATAGAGCCTATTTTATAACAAACCGAGAATTGATCTTGTGCTCGATGACGGACAAATCTCACGTAGACAGACCCGTTGATAGCGTGGGTGAGGTGGATTGAGGGTGCAGCAATGCAAAGCCAACGACCATGGTGCCCATATCAGTATGGGCGCCCCATCAAGCCGAGTGTCATTGGTTGGGCGCACATGACGAGATAGCTAGCGTGGGTGAGGGGGAGGGAGGGTGCAGCTGCCCCCACTGGAAAAAAATCGACGCCCCTAATGGGTGCCGAAGGCGCCCTTTCCATTCGGCGCAATGCAAAACCAACGAAGAAAGTGCCAATATCAGTATGGGCGCCCCATAAACCCGAGTGACATTGGGTGGGCGCCCATGGCGAGATAGGTTCAATTTTATTTCAATTATTGGTTTGCTCGTAGGTGGCTTTAGCAGTGGGAGGAAATCGGAGGACCCGTAGAAAACCCACGTGGCGACCTTATTCCTTGTTACGTACAACCTGGGAAGCGAAACCACGTCAGCTGACTCAATGACAGACCTTATGATACAGCACGCACATGCTAACCATTCGGCCATCCACCCCCCCCCCCCCTCCCCCAACTCACAGGCACTTGAGGGGATTCAAATAAAACTTCTTACTACTGCTTGACTTTATACTAAGAAGTATTATTTTAATTCATACAAGTGCCCGTGTTATAACTCCATTAAGTTAAAAAATGAAATGAAATGGGGTTTAACGTCCTACAGTTCTGCTCCTATGCTGGGCTAATGAAGACGGGCATAAGCCATACAGTGTGCTATGAGGGAAATTTTGCCCGGGCAGCGGCACAATCGCCTACTCTTATATCGAATTCAAACAGCCTAGGGATCTTTTACGTGCATTCCAATATATACACGGGACCTCGGTTTTTCGTCTCATCCGAAGGGCTAGACAGCTGTCCTTGTCAGGCCCCATTAAGTTAAAAAAATAAATAAAAAAATCCGGCGACTAATTGTATAGATTGGGGTACAACCCCCCAACCTAACTTGCAAGTTCCAGGCGCGGTACGTATCCGGGGGGAGGGGGTGCGGTCCGAGCGTTCAATTTTCCACATTTACTGGGAGGCGCCCCCTCCCCCTAACACACATACACACCCATCCATTACCGTCTGAACCCGCCCGACAGAAATTGAGGGGTGTATATTTAGTAATGTTAATCGTAGCTCATGAGTCATGACCCCCGAGAAATTACGGTATCATGGATTCTTGAGCGCCCAAACTGTTGCGGGGACTTGGTGATCTGGACTACTATTGGGCCGCGTTTGATTGTTTTCATAATACCTTACGACCCCGGACATATGCTACATGTATATAGGTTGACTATTGATCGATTGACAAACCGTGAACAAGTGAATTAATCATATGTTGAAAACAATTACTCGAAAAGTAAATGAAAAAAGTATTTTAAATCATGTTACTTAAAATCTCATAATTTACAAATTGCTATAATAATAATAATAGTTTGATTCTCAACTACATCTGCAAGCATGAGTATGGAAGTTACAACAAACATTTCACATTGTGATGCATAACAATATCTAACTAAATATCTTACAAAATAACATTAATATTAAGGCATGCAGTACCGTATAGATTGAGCATTCGCTCCTTTAAAGGCTCAATACCACTCTTGTGGTAACTGAATAATATGTCCCAATCTTTATTCTGGTGAACAAATTGTACTATTTTACAATATTCCAATTAATTGGTGATATAAATTTCATCTTAACACACCTAATTGAAAAAATTGGAAAAATTCAACTAAATGATTTGAAAAGCCTGACATAAAGCTTTTCAAATGTGACTTGGATTTAAAAATATTTTTAAACCCTTTGGACAAATGAAATAGGACTTAATGGATAATTTACACAGCAGGTAAGACACTAACACATCTAGTACTTAGAATAAGGCTATTTTTTATGTTCTGGAGCTGTCAAGCCAGCAAGAGTGTTATTGTCCCTTTAAAGTTTGCTCAATTAATTTTTCAATATTTATGGCTTATTAACAAATTATAAAGAATATTGATTTTGGGTTATTATCGTTTCGTGCTGGTGATAACATTCAATTATTCTTCCTTCTTATTGATACAAATCTGTTAATAATTGATATTCGATGACCTTTTGACCCGAGGATAAGGAAGTGTTGTTATTATTGTATATAGGCTATAGGTATGTATTGTAGATAAAGATATATACCAGATGAGCAATGATAGTAACTAGGTAACAGATCATAAAAATTAATTAGTAATAAAGAGGAGATTCATAAAATCTGTCTATTATACTCCTCCATACAATATATTATATCGTGTTAATAGAATTAAGGAAATGGTAAATTTTTAGAATCTCCAAATTTGGAGCAGAACAAGTTTAACCTCATTTCTTTTTCATCATTGAGACAAATTTATTTCAGAAGCAAATTATTCATGTTCAATTTCATCACATCATATCGGTGAGTGTGGGGGTGGGGGTGGGGGGTCCGAATGATTAGCACGTGCGCGTTGTATCATAAGGTCTGTCATTGAGCCAACTGTCGTGGTTTCGATTCCCGGTTGTACGTGACAAGGAGTAGGGTTGCCTGTCCAACCTCGCGGGTTTTCTCCGGGTCCCCCGGTTTACTCCCACTGCTAATGACCCCTACGCGGCGCAAGTGAATTATTGAAATAAAACTGAACCATATGTTAGTCCCGAAATGTCCTAGTTTTGTGTCAAGTAGTCCTACCGTTTTCCTTCAGCATCGGGTATTATGATGTCGAAACTTGAAATTTTAAACGTTCTGAAGTCAAGATATCGCCTATTACCTATTGGATGATGTTTCACCTGGACGGTAAATAAAAAGTAAATAAGACAGAAATCTTTATATATAATATTAAGTGCGGGAGAACCAAAATAAAATCGATAGACAAACATGCGGACAAGACAAACTACTCAGACACTGGAAGAAATAAAAAAAAAAGAGCAAATGTCAGATCAACTATAGACTCATTTATTTAATAACTCCGCTCCATATTCACAGAATCTTGTCGTAACGTGTTTATCAGAATTCATAAATATAAAACATTTTACAAAAAAATCTATATTTCAAATTTCTTTTAATGTGATGACGTGGCAATTAAATTTATCTAATCATGGTGTTAGATATAAATATATAATAATATATAATAAATTCCATAGATAAATATAGAATAGATAACAAAATGTTTGATACGGGTATTTTAAATGAACCAGTTTTAACAGCCTTAATTAAACGGTTTTAATGAAATGGGGTTTAACGTCCTACTGTTCTGCTCCGAACTGGGCTAATGAAGACGGGCATACGCCATACAATGTGCTGCTATGAGGGAAATTTTGCCCAGACAATGTATGCACGGAACCTCCGTCCTACACCACTGACAAGGAGTAACTACGCCAGAAAATCTAAATGAACTTTCTCGGCCAATGCAGGGAACGAACACCCGACCTCCAGGCTAGCGAGCCAGCGTCTACCCACTTCGCCATCATGACCCCCAGATGGTTTTAATACCGCCTTTTTAGGTGTTTATGGCCTGAACCGTTGGAGCAGAACAATACAGCGTTAAACCCCATTTCATTTCATTTTATTACTTGAAACGGTTAATAAAAATATTAATGGGTATTAAGTTTATTAAAGGTGCAGACGTGAGTTGATTTTCAACGATTATTGCAAGAGTTACGTACCTTGATTTGAACGAACCAGGCTAAATATTCGTGTCCTGTGTGAGGTATATGTTCCTGTACGAATATTAGGGGGAATTGCGTTTATTGATGTTATTAAAGGGGAGTAATGTTTTACAATGGTTATCGTGTGTTTTCCCCTTGCCATTGCAGTGGTGCAGGACTGCGGGCATGGCAAGAAACAACGTCTAGTCGTGCGAATGGGACGAAAATACGAGAAAGAACCCTTGGTAGTTGGAATTCAATTGCTGCCCGGAAAAAATTTCCATCATAGCATAATGACGTATGCCGGTCTTCATTATCCCGGTTGGAGCAGAAAAGAAGGACGTTAAACCCCATTCCATTCATTCTTTATATATTTTATCTTAAAAACCGACCCGCGTGAGTTCCATGGCAACGACGCAAAACAAACAAAAACGCGCTTAACCCTTGTGCGGACACGTCGTACGAATAACGTTGTCGGCAACAAGGGTTTTTCTGAAACCCCAGAGATAAATAGGTTTTTGGATTCATAATTTTATTCAAATACGATCAAACCAGAGCTTCATAAAAAGACTGAATAATCATCAATCAAAGTAGAAAAAATATTTGAGGTATTAACAGTGAAGATATGAATTATAAGGCATTTTTGAAACCATCAAACTCTGCAAATAACTTGTCATTTCCTAGAATCGTCATTTGACGGGGTTGGTAGAGAACCTAGATTTGTTTTCAGATCTAGATTACAAGAATGATCAACACAATAACATCAGTAAGACAGATACCAAATACAAATCTAGCACCGAACACAGAACAGATTATGCACTTGTAACCAGCAGCATTTTTGAAGTGGAGGGGAGGCGGGGATCCACAAGACCCCTTGTTTACGATAGTTATACTCTTAGTTTCTTGTCAAATGGTGAATGTTGCCACTGCCTCACTTCCGTTCTTTTTGCTGCATTATACTCTACTCGACGTTAAAGAGCTGACCATGTATAAAATTCTCGCTAGACAATTATGATCCAGTTCCTCACAAATGTTAAAGATACTTTCCCAG